TGTGAACGTGTGTGCGAGAGGGTGTGAGCTAATCATGCTTAATGTGAAGCGACACACAATGAGAGAGAAGAGTCCAGACTGAGGGAGGGACGCGAAGAGAGAGAGAGAGAGAGAGAGAGCAGAGATATATCCGTCTGAGTCAATGAAGAAGAAAATGAGTGAATGCTGCGGGGGAGGGATAGAGGATGGGAGGATGGGTGGACACACTTAAACTGATGAAATGCAGAAATACAGCTTTAGAGACATGGGGGAGATGGAGGGAATGAGGAGACCAAACCAAACTGAAGAAAGATCCAAGGAGTTTTTCAAGAAAGATATTATTTGCGTGATGAAAAATAAATGGGATGCATTAAATTGTGTAGTAAACATGTGACAAAAGTTTTCTATTTCAGGTAAATGCATTTAAGTGAATTCATCACAGATTGCGGTTTCCAAAATATATCGCGGTTTCCACTACAAATATGAAGCAGCACAACAGTTTTCATCATTAATAATCAGAACTGTTTCTTGAGCAGCAAATCATCATATTAGAGTGATTTGTGAAGGATCATGTGACACTGAAGACTGGAGTAATGCTGAAAATTCAGCTTTGATCATGAATAAACTATATTTTAAACAATTTATAATAACATAGTTTAGAATAACAGTTATTTTAAATTGTAATAATATGTATTTTTATTAAATAAATGCAGCTTTAAAAGCATTTATAATCATGCCATACCCAAACTCTCTGCATGGCATACTTCAATAACTACCCAAAAATACATAAAACACATTTTTCAGACGCTAAATTCTGATTGGTTGCACCAAGTTAAAACTAAATTACCGGGCAGAGGAATTGTTGTTGCTTTTATTATTATTATTATTATTATTATGATTATGATTAGGATTAATATAGTTTACTATTATTAAACAATGGTTATGGGGATTTTCATCCAGTGTCAAAGCATTAATAAATCTTTTATCTTTTAATTTAACCATCCAAGTCCTTCCCAGTATTAACCAATCCTAAACAATATCCTCTATGCAATAGGGAAAAAACAAAACAAAAAAAACACCACAATGTACTACATTCCCCTTTACTTTATATACTCTCTTTTCTTCCTTTTCTTTTTTACACACAAGACAAGACAAACAGAACAAACTATTTAGACACATATCGGACAAATTACAACACACTAGGCACAAGTCCCTATAGCAAAAAAAAAAAAAAACGACCAAAGTGATATTACCAAAGTAATAATCTTTAAAAAAAAAATAATAGTCTCATTCACACACGTACACCCACACACATACATGCATACACACAAACTACACTGTCAAAGCATTAAATAAATCTTAATAAACAAAGAAAAGTTGTTTCCTTTTTTTTATGATGGATTTCAAGGACTGTAATATTAAATGTCATTTAAAAGCAGTGGATGTCTGGTTTTAAATGCGTGTGAAATAGTTTCTTCATGATTGACAGTGATGTGCTAAAGTGAGATTAAACATTCTTACAAGAGAGAGAGTAAAGAAACGTGAGCGCACAGCTGTGGTGTGTATCTGTGAAAGTACACTATTACACAAGTGTTAGTATGAGTGTGTGTGTTTAGTGTCGGTTGTGTGTACGGAAGTTTGTCCTTATCGTCTCTCCCGAGCTCTTGTTTACACACTCACTCATTTTCCCGAATCAAAAAGCAGTGTGTTTGAGGTTATTTGAGGTTCTCAAACACACTATCACATCTAAATGTGCTTTTCAGACTAAGAAATGTTCTGAGAGAAATCCATTAGTCAAACATCACTTTTATATCACGCTCAAATTAAGCTTAGTGATTTCAAAGCAACTGCTAAAATCACGTATTAAACTTCAGATGCATTAATGTTAATGCAAGCAATCAGACTTGAAAAAACACGGTAGGAGAGGTAACTATACCTAGCAACCACCCAGAACACCCAAGCAACCACAAATCAACACACTTTAGCATCGGCATAGCAACGCCTACACTCTTAGAAGATATGGTTCTATTAGAACCAGAAATGGTTCCATCCCCCGCTTCAAATATGGAACTCCAAAATGGTTCTATATAGAACCATTTTTTTTTTGTAAAAGGTTCTATTGGCCAAGCATGGAACCCCAGGGTTCTTTATAGAACGCAGAGGAACCCTTTTTTAAGAGTGTACAGAACCTTTTAGGAGTTCCAAATACATAGCGCTGATAGAACCTTTTCTTCTAAGAGTGTAAGTAACAGCATATCAGAATGATTTGTGAAGGATCATGCGACACTGAAGACTGGAGTAATGATGCTGAAAATTCAGCTTTGTAATAAATTACAATATATTCACATAGAACGAGTTATTTTAGATTGTAATAATATTTCACAATATTATGGTTTTTACCCTATTTTGGTCAAATAAATAGTCTTGTTGAGCATAAGATTAAAAGCATTAATAAATCTTATTGACACAAACTTTTAACGTATATACTTTACGTACAACTCTGTACAGTAATAAAGTTATACGCGCAGTGTTATGGTTTTCAACTGAAGAATTAAAAATGTTCTTGGTATAAAAATTTTTTAAAAAAAGTCTTTGTAACTTTACACACAATGGAAGTGAAACTATAAACAGAATCTTTCTGCCCTTTCTACTATATATGTGACCCTTCTCTCAATCTCACTGTCTCTCCGTGTCCTTTAATCTGTCCATTATAGCGGCGTAAGAAGTGCCTTCATTGAGGAAACACACACAATGCTGTATTTGCTGGCAAACCCCTATGAGAGAGCTGTGAAAAATGACACTGTTGTTCTCATTGCTCTTTCTCATGTGAGTGTGTGTGCGACTGCAAACACAGCTGGATCAAGATCTGAGGAGACCAACACTATTCCACCCCCAAACACACACACAATCCAATAATCGGACTTGAGGAACATGCTGGAGTGAGAGTGATAACACACACAGACCAGTTATTTTAAGGATCTTTAGCTGATTTGTTGAGGGCCTAGATCGATTTGAGTGAATTTTTGTAGGGGTGAAAATGTTGCCATCCTTAAAAAGCTTTGATAACATAAAATATATCATGCATCAACATCAATCCAAATATGATCACAGTTAAATTGTATTTCACTAAATTCCATTGATAATCAGAGCATAATTTTTTTTAGTTTGCAAAAAGATTTCTGTGTATAATTTATACTATAATGATCAAAAACAAGTCTTGCTATGCAACGCTAAACTTGCAGATGCAGACACACACACATGCAGCTTTCATGTGTCTATTCTTTGAAGTGGCCACTGGAGAACAAAAACCTCAGTTTATACACAGCAGATCAGCAGGGAACACAAAACACACACTATATATACACACCTCAGCAGGGCTACTGGACATGTCAAAGGTCCTGTCATAACCACATCAAAGGCGCACACACACACACACGCTATCCATAAAGATAGATTGCAGTGGTGATACAAAAGAAAATTTGATTTGCTTATAATGCAGTGAGATGAAAGAGTCCCTCAGCATGGGCCACAGAGAGGGCAGGCGTCACGCAGAGCGCTTCATTTACCCCCGACCAACCCGCCATCCCCCTCTTCTTAACCTCTCTCCAGAAGATATTAGAGTGGATCATCATGCGTTCAGATGATTTCTTCTCAACTTGATAACAACTTCAGCTTTAAACAGATCTTGCAGTTATTTTCAAGCACTTTGTATCTTGTTTTCAGACAAAGACAATCTTAATTAGATCACAATGAATATTATGATTAAGATCGATTGCATTACAATTGAACTTTTAACTACATGGTATAATGTGTGTTAAATCAAACTGAAAGTTTCTTGCATTTCGCTCTTGAAATGCGTCAATGTGTTGACGTAATTTCCACTGAAACAGGAAGGGCATATCGAACAGCTCCTCCCCTTTTTTTAAACAGCCAATAGCGTTACGTTTATATCACAGCTCAGCCAGAGCTGTTGAACTCGGTAAAGACAAAGTTTCCTCCTAATCTCTTCCATAACGCTTTAAAATATAGCATTCAGTGCAGAATTCAAATGTATCCGATTTGTTTCGTGGTGTACGCCGACTCGCGCATATGATCCGCTTGTGAAACCAGACATTCGCCCTAATGGCAAGCATATTTACATGGTCTGAATCGTTCCCTGTCCCCTATATAGTGCACTATGTGCCATTCATCATGTAGAAAATAGTAATTGTGTGGGAACAAGTGACCAATTTCAGCAGCAGCAGCTATTATAATGTAGGGGCGGAGCTTCAGATTCTAGAGAGCATTTGATTGGACAGAAAATCTGATCAGAAGCTGAAGTGCAGAGTGATGTCATCAAAATCATTGATCAATTTTGTTTTTGAATGCTTATAACTTTTAAATGCGAATTTTGTCATTGTTTTGGAGTATACTAGCTTATAGATAACAAAAGGCTAACAAATTCATGATAAAAGCAAAAAATAAAAAATAAAATAGATTAAAAAAAAATTTAATGGGGAATTTAAAGCTGGAGAGGAAACACGAAATGTGTGGAAAAACTATTGATTTGACAACAACATTTTTTTTAACCGACTATAAAAACGATTCAGTTGGAATAGACAATTTTTTTGTATTAGAAAATGTTACCATTAATTTATCCGTTTTAACAACAATAAACAACACAAATTCAATGCAATTTTAAAACAGTGATAAAAAAAGGGCTATAGCCTATCTAGGGATATGGAATAATATGAAATAATTGGTGAATCATATAATCGGTTCATTGAACAAATGATTCACACGAACCAAATGATTCGCCAAAATGATTCAGTGCTACTGCCAAACCCGTGTTATGTTTCAAAATCCTTCACATCGTCTACATTCAGAAGAAGCTGATTAAATATTCTTCTGTCGTAATCCTTTACCCAGTGTGTGAATAGACGAGATGCCATTCATTGGACTTTAACTGTGGTGAAGCCACGCCTCCTCCTGCTGATATGGGCGGGGCTTAAAGTTTAGTCCCCTTCTGAAACTCTTGCGCTGGAACTCAGACTCAGTCAGCAGTTGTGCACGCGCATTTCCAGTCAGCTCACTGCTCGAGCCGCACGGGCTGATCTGCAGAAAGAGAGGGAAAGTTTAGTTCGGACAGGTCTTTTACATCAGACAACAGTATGGAATCAGTAGGTTTTCGTTGTGTTTAAATATAACTTTGTAAAAGCAGGGAAGAGAAGGACTTGACGCACGCGCCTCTGGAGAACCGCAGCGTCTCGCGCAGTGATGGAGGTTTGGGGCTTTATGGATTTTGCGCTTTGGATTTCATTTCTCACGAGCTTCACGATGGCCAGTTACTCCGAAGACCAGTGCAGCTGGAGGGGAAGGTAAACTTCGTCAAAACACAGAGTTAAATGCTTTCTGCTGGTTTTTAATGCATTGAGAATATTTTTACGGTTTTTTTTTCTTGAACGCCCATTGATTTTTCCTGCTATCTTGCATGAAATGCAAATATTTACAGTAGTAGGCTAACCCTTAGTAAAATATTTTGTATAATAGTAAAAAAAATGTAAGTGCAATACTATCTATCTATCTAAGGATAGTTTGTGAGTAAATTTAAGTTTGGATTATCATTTTGTGCAAATGGCAACGGTAAATGTGCGCAAAAAGGGTAAATTGAGCACTAAATCTATGAAACAAAAATATATAATAGGAAATGTGATATCATGAGTGTTGCAATGTCTGTTTCTATTAGTGCGGTAAGTTTAAAGACTGTGTGAAAGTAGCCAGTAGGAGGCGTTGAACTTTCCCTGCGACTTCAATCCCCACTGGACAAATCCAAGCTTCAAGTTTCAAGTTTATTTGTCATGTGCACAAAAAGTCAGTGACAAATTGTAAATTGAACTGCTTGTGGCGAGGCACGGGTATTCTTACAGCGACACAATACAGGAAAAACATCAGAAGATATCAGAATTATGACTCAACTTTTCAGACCATATATGAAGTGTGTTTTGTGTGTAAATGTAAATGTGGGGCTGAGTATAGACCTAACTGTCATTTATGTTAAATAAAAATATGTCCACTTGTTTTGTGGACACTTCAACACAATTTAACTTAAAATGATGGTTTAGTCAGTTTACTATTATGATAGTGTTTCTGCTTGCACCATATTTCATGTGGATAAAGGGACTATTTAATGTTAACCTCTGGTTTGCATCTCTGCAGTGGTCTCTCTCAGGCGGTGAAGAACGTGGAGCAGGTTTGGTTGAGGTGTGCGGAGGGTTCGGTGGAGTGGCTTTATCCCGCTGGGGCGCTGCGTCTCACACTCTCTCCCCGTCTGCCGTGGAGCGCCATGGTCCCGGGAGAGTCCAGCAGGAGCCCGGTGTCGGCCTGCGTCAAGCCGGACCAGCACTGGGGTGGAGCTCAGCTTTACCTGGAGAGAGACGGGGTCCTGGAGCTTCTGGTGGGAGACGACACATCCGAGACGCCCGGCCCGGTCCAGGTGCGCTGCTTCAGTGCCATGCCTGGAGAACGAACAGCCCTGTTCCTGCAAGCAACGCCTCACCAAGACATCAGCAGACGCATCGCGGCGTTTCGCTACGAGCTGAGAGGGGATTGGATGGCTCAGCCGTCAGTCAACACGGATCCGATCGGCAGTGAAGGTGAAGATATTATAGTAGTGATATATAATAAGATTAAGAAATCTTTACATGGTCATTTCTGAGCGTTAAAGGCATAGTTCACCCAAAAATGAAAATTAGACCATTATTGACCCTCAAGTCATCCTTGGTGTATATGACGTTCTTCTTTTAGTTCTTCTCTTCCAAGCCTTACAATGGCAGTGAATGGCTGTTTCTGTATTAAAGTCCATAAAAGTGCATTTTATGATGGATAGATGCATTCTATGATGGATAGATGCACTTTTATGATGGATAGATGCATTTTATGATGGATAGATGCATTTTATGATGGATAGATGCACTTTTATGATGGATAGATGCATTCTATGATGGATAGATGCACTTTTATGATGGATAGATGCACTTTTATGATGGATAGATGCATTCTATGATGGATAGATGCATTTTATGATGGATAGATGCACTTTTATGATGGATAGATGCATTTTTATGATGATAGATGCACTTTTATGATGGATAGATGCACTTTTAGGATGGATAGATGCATTCTATGATGGATAGATGCACTTTTATGATGGATAGATGCATTCTATGATGGATAGATGCACTTTTATGATGGATAGATGCACTTTTATGATGGATAGATGCATTCTATGATGGATAGATGCATTTTATGATGGATAGATGCACTTTTATGATGGATAGATGCATTTTTATGATGATAGATGCACTTTTATGATGGATAGATGCACTTTTAGGATGGATAGATGCATTTTTATGATGATAGATGCACTTTTATGATGGATAGATGCACTTTTAGGATGGATAGATGCACTTTTATAATGGATAGATGGATAGATGCACTTTTACTGTATAATGGATAGATGGATAGATGCACTTTTATAATGGATAGATGGATAGATGCACTTTTATGATGGATAGATGCACTTTTATAATAGATAGATGCACTTTTATGATGGATAGATGCACTTTTATGGACTTATTTGATTATAAAGCTTGGAAGAGCCAGGGCATGTTTTAATATCACTCTGATTGTATTCGTCTGAAAGAAGAACGTCATATACACCAAGGATGACTTGAGGGTGAGTAAATCATGGGCTAATTTTCATTTTTGGGTGAACTATCCCTTTAACCTGTCCTCAACTCATTCAAACACTATGAAACTATGCAAGGTTGGAGATGAAGTTCTCCAAAATTATGCTGAGTTTGAGTTGCCCTTTGACCTTTGGGTGGATGGGGGTGCAGAACGAGGATCATGAACAGAGCATTCATTCAAACTTTAACGAGACTTGAACTTTTGAGTAATGCAGTTTAGAGTAGATCCACGATGTGTAGAATCCCACAACTTGCTTCTTGAAAAGCACTAACTCGTCACTTTTACTTTTTAACCTGTAATTGTAGCATTGCAATGATTTAAATGTAACGTTTCAGGTCATCTCAGCTGGGCAGCTTCTTCCAGCCAGTTGTGAGAAATGGGGGAGGGAGCGTTCGGATTCGAGGAGCGGAAAAGATGAGGGGGAGGGAGAGAAAGACAAAAGCTTGGGATTGGGGTGGGGGGGTGTCTCCATAGTGAGCCATTTCAGAGAATTGCATGAGAGCACAGTCGCCGTGGTAACGGGGGGTCGGGGGGGAACCACGAAACTGAAAAGCGGATTCTTTTGTTCTGAGTTTTGGGAGCAGAGAGGAGACAGGGAAGGACGTTTAAAGTTTTAAAGGGCCAACAACTTTCTCCGTCTCACACCCACACGGACACCTGTTGCTCAGTGTAAAAGTGCACATGTGGAGGAATGAGCTCAACTTCTAATAATCATGACTTTAGGTCGAGCTCAACTTATGTATGGCCGAAATCTAGAGTGCAAAAAAATTTTATCAGCCAGTCCCAAAAATGTGTGTGTGCATATATATATATATATATATATATATATATATATAAATTAAATGATTAGAACCATAAAAAAAATCATTTAGTGCATGAAATTGGTTAATAAAAATTATAATAAAAAGGAATATAAACTATATAGACATAAAAAAGACAAAAAAAATCTAATTACAGAAAATTTTACTAAAATAAAATGGAAAATATAAAAACCAATTAAAAATATTAATAAAAACTATGATAGTATTATATATCAATGATACTAAAATAACACTGATTTATGAATGTGTACCAAAACTACTTAGCACATATTCATTTGTGGTCATTTTAACAACAACAACAAAAATCACTATTAATTAATTTTGGAACACTTTCTGAATCTTATATATTCTTATAATCTTATATATAATTTTATATTACATATAATTTGACAAATAATAATAATAATAATATTGACAAATATGAAGTTGAAAAAAAAAATTAAAAGTGACCGAGGACATTTAAAAAAACATAGCCTAATAATGAATTAAGCCATCGACCCTGACATAAAGTCTGGTATTTTGACTAGAAACTATAGTTACCATGGTCCATTTTTGTAAACGCATCTATACAAACATCTTCCAAAGATGGGTTTATAAGATCAGCTGTTCAGTTTGCTTACTTTACGAGCCCATATAGATCAGCTGAAGTAACAATCGAGAGGAAGAGGGAGTGATTCATTACACACCTCTCACATGAGCTTTGAAGAGATGAGATGAATCACACCGATCAGAAGGTCATTCCCTCCATCACACCTCCGCCTAGCAGCTGTGTGTTACACCTCATCTAAAGCTGTTCCTGTCCTCAGTCTCATTCTCCTCCTCTTTCTTCCTCTCTCAGGAGCCTGCAGGCCGTGCAATAACACCGAGATTCTGATGGCTGTGTGCACTAGTGACTTTGGTGAGTATTTGAATTGAGTTTTTCTTCCACTTAATTAGAAAAAAGGCGTCTTGATCCGAAACAATCAGCAGCAAAAACCTCAAACCTACAACCTTAAGCTGCCAATCCAGATCTTAAACCTCTACGCCACACTTTCTGTTGGTTTAGTTTAAGATCTGGACTGGCAACCAGGAACAAGGTCACAGGTTCAACACAAGTAGTAACACAACACAAGTTATTTTAGTATCATTCAAATACTATTACTATTTAGAATTAGATTTTATTTTTACATTTTCCATTTAATTTTTTTTTAATATGTCTATATAGTTTTAATAAATGTATTTCAGTCTTAGATTTTTATATTTCATAGGGCTGGGCAACGATTAATCGCGATTAATCGCATCCAAAATAAAAGTTTGTGTTTACATAATATATGTGTGTGTACTGTGTATAATTATTTTGTATATAAAAATTCACACACATGCATGTATATATTTAAGAAAAATGTGTTATTAATATATATTTTGGACGCGATTAATCGCGATTAATCGTTGTCCAGCACTATAAATCCTAGTTTTTTTTAGTATTTTATCTCAGCTAAAGTTGATTTTATTTCAAATAACGCAAATAACTTAAGGTTTTAGCCTGAAACGTTACTTTCATACTTCGACTGTAAATTGCTTTGAATAAAAGGCGTTTTCTGATTTTTTTCCGCACCAAACCCAATCTGCATTAATCCAATGGGTTCATTTAGCCTCATCTGTAAACCAAGCAAAGTAGCAAAAGCTCAAATTTGATGTTAATTAGCAACATGTACGTTTTATCCACAATCTATCCGTGCTAATGGAGCTCTCTGTGTTTTTAGTGGTCCGAGGGAACATCCGTTCAGTGGAGACGGACTCGAACTTGAAAGCGGCAGTGATCAAAGTGAGCGCAACACGAGTTTACCGGCAAAAGTTCTCCTTGTTCCCCGAGTCGGGGCGTCTGACGCGGTCCGGGGAGATCCGTACACCTCTTCAGTGTGGCGTCCGTCCCGGCGCGGGGAGCTTTCTCTTCACCGGCCGCGTGCACTTCGGGGAGGCCTGGCTCGGCTGTGCTCCACGCTATAAAGACTTCCTGAAGGCGTACGAACAGGCCAAACAATCCCTGATGATCCCCTGCACTCTGGTGAACGACTGACGGGAGAAGAACGAGCGCGTGCCGGCCAATCGGGACGGACCCTTGATTCCGGTTCGCAGGGTCTGAGATGAAACTCCTGAACGCAAGAATGAAACAAGTTTAGGAGAATGGAGAACAAGACACTGAGACAGAAACAACCAAAAGGAAATCTCAGTGCCGATCACTGGATCAAGATGGATATCGGAATAAGGACATTCGGGGTGACCGTGTGTCGACGTCTATCTGAAACCACTGGTTTAACCCTAATTTCGGGGGCCTCTTTTTTTAAACTCAGGAAATTGTGTCTTTGGACACTTTGATGTGAATGTCATATCATTGAAATATCCAAAGTCCTCATGATGTTGGGGACACACTCTGTTTCCCATCATGTGGGTTGAGTTGGTAAATAAGCTGAACGCAATGCATGTAGCGCAGTCGTCTTTCGCAGTATTTGACGCCACAGAAAAAAACCTATTGATTTGTCATCCTTTATATGAAAAAGTTTTGTATTGAGAGTATATATTTTTTCCGCATACGTTTTTTTTTTTTTTTTTTTATAAAAAAGGCATCTATTTTCTAAATTTGCACTGGTGAAAGGAAGGGAACTGGCGATACCTGGATGCTGCAAGCACTGAGAAACCAAAACGCATCTATATGTAGCATAGCAAAAGATGTTTTATATAAATATATTCTATAATATGAAATCAGCTTTGGTTTATATGCTAACAGGCTGAGAATAGAATGCAGCTAACATGAAGTAATGAAAACGGATACAATAGCAATAGTATATTAATTATTCTGTCAACGGATAGCATGTGCCGATTACCTCATGGTTAACGTCAACAGTAGTTAGCTTTGACGTCGCTGATGTTATCAAGCCAGTCAGGTTGTGCTAGATTGAGATATACTGAGAAGTTCAAGCGGTTTTACTCTGACAAAAAAAAAAATCTATATTCTGTTACGAACAAAGATGCGTTCACACAGACACGATTTGCGACGACGTTTGAGTTTGGACAAAGTTGAGCGGTTTATGCAAATGAGAAGTGGCGCACTGACCAATGCGAGTGCTGATAGAAGGTCACGTGATGCTGTACGCTAGTCGGAACAACTTCTCACGATTTGTTCTCGGTGTGAACGCGCATTAACAGGGTATGCTCTCAAATCTGGATTTTAATGTAGTTCAAATATATGTATTCGACGTTATATAATCTATAAAGATAATTTAACTTTAAAGCTAAACGTCTGAAATAACACTCATATGCTGCCGCTGTTGCTCTCAAACGCTATGTAAAGCTTGTCAAATGCTGGTCTCAGGCTGGACTGCAAGCACTGTCCTGTGTCTAATTCTGGTTATCTGACTGCGATTGTTTATGACTTTATTTTGTTCTTCACATCTTACTGTCAGCGATGTATGTGCACTAAACAAACGAGTGGAGAAACCAAACGTGGAGAGCGATCGACATGCCATATTTTATGCTGCCTGTGTTTGTTATTAGTGTGTCTTTAAAACCAATGTGACTGCTGTGTGTAAAATATATGTATATGTGTGTTTATGTCGATATCAATGTATATAAGATGTTTTAGAGTTTTAAAACTGGACGAAGAAATATTCTGTTAACATTGTATGTAGAGTTTGTATGAAAGTTTGGTTACAAAATATACAATTATAAAGAACAAAAATCATATTGAATTTGTGTTTGTCTGGTTTCTGAATTACTGAGTTGTGTTGTAAAAAACTAGGTGTGATATAGCTCTGAAATATTTTCAGTATTTTCTCATATTAAATAGAAAATTACTTAGTGTTAAACTAAATATATTTAGCTACAGTATAGTGTGAATATTATCCATATATATACACTTTTATATTGTTTTTGAAACAAGTATCTTATGCTCACAAAGCTTGTATTTATTTGATAAAAATAATAAATATTACATTTTAAAATAAGTTGTTTTAAAATGTAAAGTGTCATTTATTCCTGTGATCAAAGCTGAATAATTAAACCAGTCTTCAGTGTCACATGATCCTTCAGAAATCATTCTAATATGATGATTTACTGGAAACTTTTTAAATATTTTTTTTTAAATAGATTTTTTTTGTAACATTATGCAATTTTTATTAACCTGGTTATTTTTATTAATTTTTATGAAATAGTTTTTTTTTTTAAATAGATTTTTTTTTGTAACATTATGACATTTTTTGTTACATTTTGTATACATGATCAACTTAATGCATCCTCGGTAAATAAATATTAATTTCTTAATTTCCAAAACGTTTGATGGGTATTGTAAATATAAAAGGACACTGTCACACTGACCATGTTTCACTTTATTATTATTAGCATACCGTATAAACTTAAACTATAGTTTAAAGGTGAATAACAGGAAAATGAGGAAGGGTGTTGGTGAGCTGTGTAGGGTGTGTGTGTGTTCAGGTGTACAGTGTGTGTGTTTGGCCTTTGAAGAGCTCCAGAGATAGAACAGGAAATGAGTGCGACCCAACCCGCAGACACGAGCTCTCTGACCTGGATTGTGTTCATTTATATCTACAGACACACACACACAGAGACAGACACACATTTCATAGAGATTATAACCTCACAGAAAAATGTTGCTAACAGAAATAGATTAAGCTAAATTTAGAGTTATGTGGTTAAAATGAAGTTTGTGATCCTGTATAAATGAATATGTGTGTTTCAGTACACCCAATGTTACAGGGACATAAAGATTTGTTACACCCCACAAAAGCTGGTAATACAGAAAATCCTAGTCCTTGAACATTTTTCAGTTCCTACGAGAAAAAACAGTTTTTTTGAAAATCTAAAAATGCAGAAAGTTTTATTCAACTGACCAATGATACAGACATTTATAAAGTTACATAAAAGATGTCTATTTGAAATAAATGCTGCTCCTTCAAAGAATTATAAAAACAAAACTTATTATGATTTCCACAAAATGAAGCCATATGAAGAAGCATTTCAACATTGATAACAAAAAGAAATGTTTCCTGAGTCATACTAGAAAGATTTGTGAAGGATCATGTGACACTGAAGACTGGAGTAATGATGCTGGAAATTCAGCTTTGATCACAATAATAAATTACATCTTAACATATATAATCTTTGACAATATTACTGTTTTTACTATATTTATGATCAAATATATGATCCTTGGAGAAGAGGCTTCGACTACAGACCCTAAACGTAAAGGGCTATTAGATAAATCAATGCAAAGTTATACACTGCTGTTGGGAACAATCATGATTTGGGTTGTCATGAATATCTTCTAAAGGCACTACATCCCTGCTGTGTGTGTTAGTATGGTGACAACACTTCAACCCCCTAGAGAACACAACTTCTCCAGAAACACACTTTTGTTCCTTAAGGGTCTGCAGATGGCTCTAATCCCATTAAAATGCGGAGGGAAACCCTGTGTGTGTGTGTGTGTAGAGCAGAGCTCCTCAGGTCGGCGTGGGCAGTGTCTTTCTTATTTCCCGCCAAAATTACTCTAATTATCATTTCACACAAAATATGCAGTTAAAACAATCTGAGTAAGCATGTTCATATAGTCCTTAAAGTCACATACAGACACAGCTTTCTATAACCCAATTCTATACCTTTACACCTTTAGATTTATATTTCTCACCTCTATCTCATATAAACGCACCGTCTCATAGATGAATAAACACATTCCCTCTCCTTTTCCACTGACATTCATTCGACAACTCTAATATTAAACACAACACTGTTACACGTCTTCCGACTCGCACAACTAGAACATATCACGCAACGTCTCAAAAAAATGTAAATTAATATTTTTTATGTAGCAAGGATGCAATAAGTTGATCAGTAAATATAGAAAATGCTGATTCTTCAGAGAATCCTCTAAAAAACATATCATGTCCCTTTAAGGAACAAGGGTGCTGAAAAACTGCCACAATATTTAAATAAACAATAAAACATATCTGACAAATACAGTGACAGAACATAAAGATGCACAAAAACTGCCATTGAGAGTTAACGAAACACAAAACGCATGTCTGTTACAAATCTTTACATTTTCGAATACATTTTTTCATTAGGAGGCCGATTTTATCCAAAGGGACTATAACAAGCAATTTCATCTGAATCATTTTACTGTTATTTTGTAGCATTCACTTTTGTGTGAGATTCGTGTTTTTGTTTAAAAACTCTTTACTATAATGAAAAAAATAGTAATTTATCAAAACTCAAGGACAAAAAATATAGGCTACTTTTTCAGTGTTACAATATTAACCAGCCAAAACTTGATCTCTCTCACCCAAAATTGTAACTTGAATAAGCCAACCGGGTGAGATTTGAGTGGAACTAGTGTTTAAGAAACCTGTCAGGAAACAGTTTTGTGCATAAATTAAACATGCCATGTTTTAACATCAATATAAGCTTTAAAGCGATACTTCACCTCTGGAAAGATGAATGTGTATTTAAAATGGGTCATTTATGTAGAGGAAATGTGACATTATTTTTGAATTTGGAGCTTTCTAGACTGAGAAAAGCCAGAAAATGTATTTTTGGCTTATGTGGATGAAAGACAACAACTCCCAGAATGCACTTGCTTCGCTGCCCTAGGAGGCCACGCCTACCGGTAACAGAGCGCAGTCGTTAAATAACCAGTCTAGGCTACTAGTGAGTCTCCGTGACGAGTCTGCCTGATAATGTGTTTAGAGATCGCCCAAAATGTCCGGGATTCGGTTTTTGCGTTCTACAGTCGCCATTTGTTATGTTTACCGTGGCGAGCGGGACGAGTGAGGGCCGCGGGAGAACGGCGCAAGATTACCGATGAGTGACACCTGTGAGACGCACCGGTCTCGTATCTCTCATGGAGGAGCGGGAATTTTCTCAGCAAAGTTAAAACGCACATCAACCGATCACTTGTTTTGCGTTCATGTAAACACTACATTCAGATTCACCAATTGGAATTAATTCAGTTCAGCTGAGCATGTAAACAATGAATGGCGACTGCAGAAAGCAAAAGCTGAATCCCGGACATCGACGGCCGGACATGTCCGGGAAAAAGAGGACGGTAACCCCTAAAGTTACTACTCAGCTTTCTCCACAGAACAAGAGCCTGCTAGCTTAGCTTCCAAAAAAAGATGGCCGACACTATGTGTTCATTCTGTGAGATCACCCTCTATGGGCGGGTTGAGGACATGCGGGACAGACCCGACTACTGACCGTAGTCTTCAGCATCTGGACAAAACATCCTCCGATGATGCAAAATGACGAATTTTGCGTCATCTGAGGATTTTTTCCAGACAAAAAAATACATAAATCTCTCGTCTCGGGGATATGAGCACGGCAATTCGAAAATACTACAGGTTTACAAAGCTTAAAGAGTAACTAAACACTAAACCAACTTTTTTTAGTTAATGATCTGTAAGAATGGATCTTTATTAATACCAGTCATTGATTCGAGTAACTTTGACATTTGTTTATAAAGTTTTCTATTTCTACAATATATGGTGTAAAAACGTCTTAGTGCTGCCCTCTTCAGGTTGAACGGTGGCTACTGCAGTTGAATTTTACTTTTGGATGTTCCGCACTTCGTGACGTACGCAGGTTTCAGCTCACCACGCGAGCTACGCCCTTCCCTTGGCAGTATAAAAACCATCTTGTGTCGTCAAAACCACTGTAGGGAGTCAGGAACTGGAATTGTGAGTATTAAAGTCCCCGTGAATCGGAAGTTGCAAACGATTTTTCTCCAGTGCTGTGACGTATTTCCAAGTGAAACGGAATATTGAACAGAGGGCAGGGTTTTACTCTAGCGCTCCTCCTCTCCATCTCTCGCTCATAGTAAACTAACGAACGGTTTGAGGGGAGTGGTTAAGCGTTTCCCCACCCAAACTGTGAAACCTACGTCATCAGAAAAAGAAACCGTTCCAGACCGGAAGTAACTTTTCAGATTTTGATTAAAGATCACCAAGGTAAAACATTTTTTAAATATATTTTTACTTGCACGGATTAATTGTTCACCACAAGACTAGTAATATGCGCTAACAAAGTAAATAGGTTCAATTTTGATTTCATGGGGACTTTAAAAACGACCAGGATAGTGTTTAACATCTATCTCCGCTGGGTCAGCCCACTTTTTCAGCATTTTTAAATATTGCCAGTGGGTGGAGTCAGGCTCTGACCAGGGGTTTAGTTAACCTTTAATGCTAAATACTGAAGTATCCCTTTAATTCAACCAATTGATGTACTATAAAAACACGTTGCTACCTGTTTCACAGGTCAGAGAGAGAGAGCAGAAACTACACAGCGAAAGCCTATAGTGATAGACAGAGGCAGATCTGGGGCACGGGTGTTGAAGAGTCTCCCCGAGGTGCAGTCAGTGAATCACTGCTGTAATGGACAGAATGTGTGAACATGAAAACGGACTGTGAGAACAGGAACACAGCCAAGACATGAGGAGAGGTCCACGTTCTGTTCAGAGGAAAACCTCTGTTCTTTGTCGAGGGGCTACAGGAGGGCGTCTGAATTTTGTCCTAATGATGACACGGATTAAACCACAGAAGTGTGGGAAACACTTTCGCACCCCCTCCTCCTCCTCCTCCTCTTGTCCAAGCACTTTCAAACTTTCCTTCAGGTTATTTTCCTCTAGTTCCCTTGAACCGCTCAGCATGTCAATTCTCTCTATCTCAACACTCAATCTCTTGATGTTTTGTGTTTCTTCTCTTCTCCCCAGCGTTATTGTTGCTCCTCCCCTTTATCTACTCACTCCTCAACTCCTCCAGACACGCTAAAGAGCTGAAAATCCCTGAGTCCAAACGCTTGAAATCAGCCAACAGGTGCTTCTGACAGCGAGAGAAGCAGAGAAACCACATCTCTTGACTGCAGAATAAACACAGGAACAATCCTCTTATAAAGCAACAGAGCAGTTTCTGATTAATATTTCATAACTGAGCATAACTAGAAAAATATATATTGATGGAAATTTGTATTAATTGCATAATAATTAAGATTTTATTCATTTCTGATTTCTGAAAATCCAGGTTTTCTGTGACCATGGGAACTACGAAATGCTCAAGCTAGAAATGTAAATTTCTTTCTGGAAAGGTGAACGTTCATTCCTCTTTTTTTCTTGTGGTTCTCAGCCTGTCTGTCTGAATTCACACACTCATTAATTTGATAGTGAGTTCTTCTGTCTCTGCTCAAATTCCTCTCTCACGCGTCCCGCATTCTTTCGCTTTTGTCACTTTTTTTCTTTCCTCCGTCTCTCTCCCCCTCCAGCCTGTTCTCATAAATTACTGCCGTTCACAAGGCTTGTCCCATCCACTTGCACACACATACACACGGGCTGCCAAAGTTTATTAGGCACCAACCGAGCATTAAAAATGGCAAAAAACAACAAACAAACAACTAAAGCAGCGCTTCTCACACACACAGGTTTATAAATGTGAAGTGCTTCGCATTTGAGACGTACAGCTGGAATATTCCAGATTTTCCCACCGCTCGGGGTTTCAGACACACATTCCGAGTTCATCTCGATGTCACTATGGGCTCAAACGATTACAGCGTGATGATTCATGAATGATTGCTGGGGAAAACTACTATATTAGACTATATTGATGTTTTACTGTTTATAAAAATATAAAATAATATTCGAAACATATTAACATTTATTAATGATACTTTTTATAATATTATTTTTTATATTAAACTATTTAATTATTGTAAGCATGTCTAAATCGGTCCAATGGCGTTATCCGATAGAACGGGTTAAGGTCTCAGCGTGCAAAGTAATTTAGTTCCAATTAAACTGCATATTATCACAACCTCGAATTAAAGGAGTAGTTCACTTTAAAAAAACTTTTGCTGATAATTCACTCACCCCCTTGTCATCCAAGATGTCCACGTCTTTCTTTCTTCAGTCAAAAAGAAATTAAGGTTTTTGATGAAAACATTCCAGGATTTTTTTCCATATAATGGACTTCAATGGGAACCAAACGGTTCAAGGTCCAAATGAGTTTCAGTGCAGCTTCAAAGGGCTTTAAACGACACCAGACGATGAATAAGGGTCTTATCAAACGTAACGATCGCTCATTTCAAAAATAAAAAAAAAGGTTTAGGTTTTATAAGCACAAATGCTCGCCTTGCTCTGTTCTGTGATGCGCGTTCGTGACTCTCCTGTTCGAACTCGTTCATCAAAATGAAAAAATCTTTTTACGAGACATTTGGTTCATTCAACGAACGAAATCACAGAACAGAGCAAGGCGAGCGTTTGTGCTTATAAAACTTCAACTTTTTTATTTATCTCTCAATTGGACCTTGAACCGTTTGGACCCCATTGAAGTCCATTATATGGAGAAAAATCCTGTAATGTTTTCATCAAAAACCTTAATTTCTTTTCGACTGAAGAAAGAATGACATGGACATCTTGTATGACATGGGGGTGAGTAAATTATCAGCAAAAGTTTTTTTTTAAAAGTGAACTACTACTTTAATGGCCAATTGGTCATTTATATAATAGTTTAGCAGCACATTTGATTAAACCTTTCAACTTTTTACTTATTTTTTACCCGTTCATATATTAGGCAGCTATGTCGCTTTGTTATTATTTATTACATTAATTATGTATTATTATATACGATTAATTAATCTAATAGCATATATTAATATACGCGATTCAATTTGAGTCTAAATGATTTAATATAAAATACCTAAAATAATAAATTGAAATCTGGCAAAAACAGTGAGGTAACGCATTTAAACCACTTTGTTCTTCGTCTCTTTCTAGTTCTCTCTGGTGTAACGTTCTCATGATGTCAACGTGCCGGTGCGGATGCCACCCAGTGTGAGCTGGCACACAGTCGGCCGGCCGGCCAGCCCCCGAACCCCCCCGCCAATTACCCTCTGTACCCAGAAGCCCCCTCCCCGCTCGTTTCCCAGGGGTTCAGGGGCCACTGTACTCACTACACCCCGTTTCCCATACGCATAATCCACATTTTCCCCCCCGGCTCATAAAGAGGCGCTCGAACCCTTAGTCTGCAGCCCATTTCCCAAACACTCTCCCTTTATCCGACAAGCCCACAGCCTCTTTCTGTCTCGCTCGCTCTCTTTCGCTCTTTTCCACGCTCTCTTTCTCTGGGTAATCCGTGCCAGTTTTTTTCTTTCCAGTAATACACTTTCAAGTTTGCCCTGTAGTATTTCCAACTTTAAATTACTTGGATGGATTCAACACGTTTAACTATCTTCATTTACTATAAAAAGGAGGATTTTATATCCTAACAACACTAAATTAAAACTGCTTATCAAGGAAAATCACTAATACGACTTGCTCATGAAACCACTCATATATGTCCAAATATCATGTCTGTCACTCAGTGTCGTATGTTTCTCAGGATCAGCATGTGTGTGAACTACATGCTCCGTAATGAAATAATCTTAACCCGTGAGACAATTAATTGTCAGCGGCCTTTCATTCTCGCAGCCCGTAAAATTGACATAAGCTTTACAAACATTCCACGCATAGTTTCTCAGGAAGGAAGAGCAAATTCAATAACACACACACACACACACACACGCGCGCTTCTAAAGGAGTAAAACACAGCAGTACAAGACATGTTGCTGTGTTGTTACATTTTGATAATTGAACTTCAATAACAAAATAGCAATAATTAAATATCAACTATTTAATCTGAATCAGCAATTAAGTGGAAATCCAAATAACCAAATCTCTTACAATAAAACACTGTGAGCTTATCATCATCAACGGGAGTAAAAATGCACTTAAAAATGCAAATGAAGGCATTAATGAGTGTTTACATGTACAACAAAATGCTGATAATGATCAAGAAAACCCGTTTTTAGGGTTTACATGCAAATCAATGAACCGACCACACAAGATTAAACTCAAACAGATGTGATAAAGGTGTTTACATGCAAAACACAATTAAAGTAACAGGCAAAAGATCAACATCTTTTCCCCGATAAAGGGTAATGTGGTGTAAGATTGTGCATGTACTCATTGATTAGCGAACAAAGAAAAAGAAATCTTATCACACCATTATACTTTCTTATTCTGAGCTGAAATTGGTATTTGGATCATTTTTTTGCCAGGTGCAAAAAAAAAAATGACAGAGTGGGCGGAGCTTATGTAATACACTTTATCACATAAATGTTCATTGATTTATGGAGTGGGCGGGGCCTATGAATTATTTTTTTCCCCCCAAAATGCTGTTTTGACTGATTTGTGGAGTGGGCGGGGCTTATGGATTACTGCGCTATATTTCAAAAATACTGTTTTGACCGATTTGTGGAGTGGGCGGGGCTTATGGATTACTGCACAATATTTCATAACTGCTGTTTTTGAAAGACTTGTGGAGTGGGCGGGGCTTATGAACTCATGCACTATATTTAATAACTGCTGTTTTGACTGATTTGTGGAGTGGGCGGGGCTTATGGACTCATGCACTACATTTCATAACTGCTGTTTTGACTGATTTGTGGAGTGGGCGGGGCTTATGAACTCATGCACTACATTTTATAACTGCTGTTTTGACTGATTTGTGGAGTGGGCGGGGCTTAAGGATTACTGCACTATATTTCATAACTGCTGTTTTTGAAAGCCTTGTGGAGTGGGCGGGGCTTATGGACTCGTGCACTATTTGATCTTCCCTCCTGTGATCCCAGAAGCCTGCGCAGTCGCGTAATCTCCAGTTTATACCTGCACAAAGACGCCACATCTGAAGACCACACACCACCTATAAAGTCATTTCCTTATTCTCACAGGTGTGTGTTGAAATACCTGCCCAGGTGATTGTCCACATACTCCTTGAGCTCAGACACCTGCTCCTCAGCAACCGTCGCTCGGGTGATCAGACGGACACGCTCCTTCTCTTGAGATTCCTGCTGGAAATGACTGTGATTACCAGGGTGATGATAGTGAAGCTGTTGTAATAATTATAAGTGGGGCTACTTGTGTTTGCTTAGATAATATTCTGCTATGTAATGTTTGATCATTAGAGTGCTGCTATTGGATATGGTTAATTGGGTTATACTGTCACACATGGTTTGAAAGGTCCTTTGATTACTGTTATATCACCAAATAGGACATGATCTGGGTCAATATCACTGTTTTATATACGATTTTAGGGTTAGGGTTCAGCTCAGGGTTATTATCGGTTAACTAAAACTATTAAATACTTTTTGTTAATTGAAATAAAACATGCAAAACTTCTATTAGCAACATAAATCAGTTTAAATTGAAGCACTAAGTGGAGAAAATCTAATATAAACTGAAATAAAAAAAAATAATATGATATTAAAATGAAAGAGGAAAATATAAAAATCAAAGCTCATTCTAAATATTACTAAAAACTATAATAGTAAATAAATACCACTGGTTCAGCTTAGACTGAAGGCTGGGGTTGGGGCTTGAACAGGGTCCGAATTAACCAATAATTTGCATCAGAGTTTATGGGTAATTAATGGTCAGGGTGTGGAATCTGACTGTTGGACTGGTTTCAGTTTGTATTAATTACCTGTGTGGAGTTTGTTATTTCTCTGAGCTGTTTTTTAACATCATTCCAGGCCTCTTGTGTCAGTCCAGCCCTGCACAGATGTTCAAGTGCAACACATAAAATGATCCAGTAAACAGCATTGCCTCAGTATTTTAAACTGATCTCACCTCTGAGAAGACTCGGACAACACAGCCATCTGAAATACCAAACACATTATCAAGTCACAGAACTAATCCATTAAATAACACACACACACACACACCTGTTCTCGAGCAAGTTTCAGTTGGCTCTCCAGGCGGGCTTTGTCCTCTCTCAGTCTGTGTATCTCTCTCTCAGTGTCTCCTCTCGGTTCAGGCCCCGCGGGACAGAAGTGGGCCTCAGGGGGTCCGGCCTCTAAAGCGTGTTCAGGGAGTGCCAGGATCTGCTCACGTTGCAGTCTGGGACACAGACACTACTTATCAGACCAAATCAGATCTAGTGTGTGTGTGAGCAGGCTTTGCTTTTTATACGAGGCTGAAATGTCTGAAAATGTCACCAGATAATTAGAAAAATCTGATACAAAACATTTGTTAGGGATAGCTCAGGGTTATTAGCGTTAACAAAGTATTCAAAACTTTTTAGTAAATGAAAAATAAAATCTAAATATTAGATCAACTAGACTGTAGAGCATGTTTTGCTTTTAACACGGGGCTGAAATGCCACAACACAAAGAAGTACATGCACCTGTAAGCAACGAGTAGTTGTTGAAGGGCGTTGGTCAGACCCTGTATGCGTTTGTGGTATGTTTTGGCAGCTTTGGTGAGTTGTTCCTCTCTGGAGCGATATGATATTTTCATCTCCTCCAGCATGGACTCGACAATACCCTTCAACTTCTGTCCCAAATCACCACCACCAGCTGCAGTTACAGACTCCTACAGCCCAGAAACCACACAACATCAAAACACTCCTGCAAATGTTTGCAGCAAGGAAGATTAAAAAAAAGATTCAGCAAGGATGCACTGAATTGATCAAGTGACAGTAAAGACATTTATAATGTTACAAAGACTTCTATTTCAAACAAATGCTGTTCTATTGAATCCTGAAAAAAAAAACGGATTATGGCTTCCACAAAAATATTACGCAGTATTTCAATATTGATAATAATAATAATAATAAATGTTTCTTGAGTAGCAAATCATCATGTTAGAGTGATTTTTGAAGGATCGTGTGACACTGAAGACTGGCGACAGGAATAAATTACATTTTACAAAATATTCAAAAAGAAAACTAAAAAGAAATTGCAATCATATTTCACAGTATTACTGTTTTTATTGCATTTCTAATCAAATAAATGCAGCCTTGGTGAGCATGAGAGACTTCTTTCAAAAACTTTACCACTGGAAAGTGATATTTTTGTTGACATTAAAGGAGTAGTTCAGTTTAAAAAAAATTAACTTTTGCTGATAATTTACTTACCCCCATGTCATCCAAGATGTCCACGTCTTTCTTTCTTCAGTTGAAAAGAAATTAAGGTTTTTGATGAAAACATTCCAGGATTTTTCTCCATATAATGGACTTCAATGGGGTCCAAACGGTTGAAGGCCCAAAAGACAGTTTCAGTGCAGCTTCAAAGGGCTTTTAACGATTCCAGACGATGATTAAGGGTCTAATCTAGCGAAACGATCGCTCATTTAAAAAATAAATAAAAAAGTCTAAGATTTATAAGCACAAATGCTCGCCTTGCTCTGTTCTGTGATGAGCGTTCGTGACTCTCCTGTTCAAACTCGTTCATCAAAATGAACAAATCTTTTTTTGAGTCATGACTCGAAGGGTCCTAGGTAAGACCCTTATTCATCGTCTGGTGTCGTTTAAAGCCCTTTGAACAGTTTGCAGTTTGCACTGAAACTCTCATTTGGACCTTGAACCGGTTGGTCCCCATTGAAGTCCATTATATGAAGAAAATCCTGGAAAGTTTTCATCAAAAACCTTAATTTCTTTTTGACTGAAGAAAGAAAGACGTGCACATCTTGGATGACATGGGGGTGAGTAAATTATCAGCAAAAGTTTTTTTAAAAATGAGCTACTCCTTTAATGCACCATTCATTTAACCAGATGTCAGCTGGCTAGTACACATACTGTAACGTCCTGAATATAGTGTGTGAGTCGGGCCCTGTACTCTCTGTTGAGTTCCTTCAGGTGATTTTGTAGTTCAGAGACCTGAGTCTCAGCCTCCTTCAGCTGATGTTGAGATATGATCAGTGTCTGCATGTAGATGGGAACAAATCAGTCATCAGAAACACATATACAGCCTCTTCTGTGTGTGACTGAGACTGTACTCACTGCAGACTGCTGGGATAGCTCGTGTCGGGTGTTTTGAATGGCTCTCTTATTCTCCTGTTGTTCTCTGCCCATGGCCACACTATGAGAAAGACAACACATAGACTCATCAGCTGACCTTCACGCCCACGTCTCGTGACTAAACCAGTGACCACATGCATCAAAGATCGCCCACTCATGAAGATAAAAGCTCCACCACATCACTCCTAATGTAGCAGGTGCACAGAGTTTGGTTTCAATCGGTCAAACTTTAAACAGACACCATTGTACCCTCGTCTGAGTGTGGCAATGACTCAGTTTACACTCACCAGTCTCAGCCAATCCCATCACAGGTGCTCAGGTGAGGGAAATGCTATTAAAATACGTCTCCTGTGATCATTTGAGATCAGATTATGATTTTATGACTACCACCAAGTATTATCTTAGTATTACATATATGATAAGAGCACAAAAGAACAGTATTTATCTAAAATAAATGATTTACGGTCTCTTTTGATCAATTTAATGCATCCATGGTGAATGAAAATATTAATTTCTGTCAGAAAAATAAATTCTTACAGCCTCACAAAGATGGCACTGCTGTGAATAAGGTCTGTGATCTTTTGCATGAATATGTATTTGTGCTTTACCGAATGTTTGACAGAATGACGTTTTCTTTTACAACAGTTACCTTTGCGCAGTCGCTCCTTTGTTTTTGTACACGTCTATTGGGTCACATGTGTTTCTGACTAAATCTGACTAAATGTGGTTTCAGTGACCATAGAACATTTTGGACCCTGCTTTCATGAGTATTAAGTGTTTGTGACCCAAGATGGGGCTTGTAGGTCAAACTTGCAGACGTCATCATGAGTCTCACACTTTCTCCTCCAGTTGTCGTTGGTGTCCCTCGTAGCTCTTCCTCAGGTTTTCTAGCTCATCTCTCAGGTTATTCCACGCTCCCTGCATTGAAAAACATCACACATGTATTAATATCATAAACATTCTCCGTTCCCACAAAAATATTCTCCCTTCCCACAAGAGGTAGCGTGGCTTAAGGGCCAACGCAAAAAGATTGTGCAACAGTTTCTTTCCTCGTGCTGTCAGTCCTCATTTCTAATCTAGACATATTACAATAATAAGAAGTATTATGCAAAGAATATGTCACAAAATGTAAACTATAATGCCCAGCTATATTTGGATATACATTACATACAATTTTTACAAGCATACATCCAGTACACTAACATAAGCAATTACTACACTCTAAAAAATGCTGGATTGTTTCAACCCAAATTTGGGTTTGTCCATATTTTACCCAAATATGGGTTCAAACAACCCCAGTATTGTTTAGAGTGTATGTAGCAAATCTTAGATGCGTAACGTTAATCATATATTTTCGCAATATAAACCCGGATGAGCGGCCATTATGGAGGCACTCGGATGTAAACAACAGCATGGATTGTACTGTTTATGTACTACTGAACACATTGTTCCGCTAAAAAAACACAGAAAAACCCGTGGTAGGTGCGAAATCATATAGCTAGAGAAGGACTTACCAAGCAGGAGACAGCGCAATATTTTGACAAACTAAAGTTAATAAGTAACGTTAGTAAAGGTCCGAACGAGCTAGCTTCTCTAGCCCGTACTGCAATTCTTCTTGAGTGTGGACATCATTTTAGATCAAATTCCAATCGGATTTGGAGAGACGGTGTGAATGTAGCCATAGTTAATACGTTAACATTAAACACATGTGACTGATGAGCTGATGCTGTGCCTCTCACAACCACAAACGCCTTCTTTCATCATTTTTTTTTGCACTATTGTCTTTAAATTTGGCAGTCTATAGAACTCAAAAGGTATTTTCCCGATGCGACCGATTAGTACAGACCAAAACTCGACCATTTTTCAGCAGAAATAAACAGCCAAATTTGCGCGTCCGTTCAGTTCTATGGCATTGTTTATGTTCTGTGCCTCCAAAATGGCCGACTTCCGGATTGATGACGCGTCGTGAAAACCCGCTAAAAATAAAAAAAAATCATTAACATCATGATTTTCTAAAAAAAAAAAAAAAAAAAAAAAAAACTATATTGTGAAAAATTCAAAACAAATAAAATTGACGTGTTACACAAATAAAATACTGATGATTTTCTTACGTTTTTTTCCAGTGGGCTCTTGCTGTGTTCAAACTCCTCTGGCTGTTCAAACAGACATTAAAACAGAGTATTTAAATATATAACTTTTTTAAGTTCGTTAGGAAATATCGTTGTTCCCCTTTCAGTGGTTAGTGTGATCTGATAAAGCAATGCATCACTATTATTATTACTGTCATACTTCGGTGTGTGTACACAGATCGACTCTAAATGCACTGTAAGTGTTGTCTGTAATTATAATTATGTAATCATTTCATTATTTACTCTCCTCATGTCGTTTAAGACACAAATTAAGATCTTTTTGATGAAATCTTTAGAGCTTTCTGTCCCTCCATAGAGAGCCTTAACCCCTCCCCTTCCAGTCGACCACCACAGGACCTTATTTCGGAAAAATATTGTATATTGTAATGGCGAGAGACAACACATATTTTGATCTCTTTTGAATTGTGCTCTGAATTACACATGTGATGTTTGTCAATTTAAAAGATAACATTTTAAAGTCAAGAAAGTTGCAGTTTGATGTGAAACTGTGGAGGTTTAAAACTGTGAAAATACGTAATTACAAAAACTACAAACTCCAAAAGGTGCACATTTTATCTCAATGAATGAAGCTAACTTTACTGAAGCTAACACCTGTCATTGTTTCTATAGTGTTGCGTTATAATCGTAACGTTACACCGTCATGCCTTAAGTGTTTTGTACCAGACTGCACACACACGAGCAGCGGATCTCACTCTTTGTTTCGCATCCTGGGAGATGTAGTTCTTTGAGCGATTTTCACATAAAACTAAATGTTCCTCTTCTGTTTCATGACAAACTGCGACTTTCTTGACTTTCATAATTATCTTTTAAATTGACAAACATCCTATGTGTAATTGAGGGCACAGTTCAGACGGATTGAAAAGATAAGTTGTCTCTCGCCATCGACTACCACACATATTGTTTCCGAAATAAGGTCCATGAGCCTGAAGCGGAGGCTCATGCTCTCTATTGACAGTCTACGCAACTACTATTTTCAAGCCACAGAAAGGTAGTGAAGACATCATATAAGTAATGACTTTACACAAAGTACACAAAGAAACATAAATTAACACTTTATTTACAAAATATGAATCTTTCCTGAAGGTGTCAGTTGCGTAGACTGTCAATGGAGGGACAGAAAGCTCTCAGATTTCATCTTCATTTGTGTTTATTTTCGGGTGAACTATAACCTTTTAAACTTCAATATTTGTTTGGCCTTATAAATTCAAATCTATCCAGTGCCCTGTAAAGAAACATACTTTGCTAGCGTAGGTATTTGATAAAGCTGAGCATGTGTGTGTCTCTCACGCTGACTCTGTTCAGTGACGCCCTGCTGATGAGCGCTCGAACCCTCTCCACCTCCATCGTGTGTCTGTGCGTCCGCTCTCTCTCCTGCAGGAGTGTGTCGTGTGTGTGTGCGAGGGCGAGCAGCTCAGCGCTGAGCTCTTCGGAGTGTGTGCGTTCCCTTTCATAAGCACTCCTCAACGACAGGAAGTTGCTCTTTAGCACCGCGTACTCTTCGGCCAGGTCACGCTCGTTCCGCTCAATGACTTCTAAACGGGCCGATGCTGCCGACACTTCATCTCTGAGCCGGTCACGCTCCGTCTGAAGAGATGAGGCCGTTCCCTCCTGAGATAAAACCTGGGAAAGAGAGCAGAGAGTTTAAAGAGCCGTATAAATAAAGGAGATTGATCATGAGTGTGTCCTGCACTTACCATGTTTTTCAGGTCAAAGATTTCTGCTTCATACCTCTCTCTCATTTTATTGGCCTCAATCTGCACATCAACAAGGTCTTTAGAGATCTGAAACACATACACACATAATAATATTGTGTGCAGCATTTTATAGGCAGACTTCAGGCAGATCCCATATTTCCAGGCTCGTTTCAGTTCTTACCTTCAGTTTGTCTTCCTCACACTGGACCAGTTTGACAGACAGCTCGCTCTTTGACGCAGCCTGCTGACCCAGTTTGATCTGGGCCGAGTCAAGCTTACTAAACAGCACTTCATTTCGTTCCCGCAGCTGTACCTGTACAGTATATCAGTCAATGAGGTTAACAGTAACACTATAAGTGTTGTAGTCGAGACCACCTCACTCGAGTCCGAGTCGAGACCGAGACCAGAGAGAGTCGAGTCCGAGTCAAGACCGAGTCCAAAGAGAGTCGAGTCCGAGTCGAGACCGAGACCAGTGAGGGTTGATTACCTAATTTACTTTTATTTACTTAGAGAAATCCTTTTTTTTATACTGAATTTACTTAGTTTAAAAAATATGATCACTTTAGGGTAAAAAGGCCACATAGTAGGTGGTGTTAAAAGTAATTTTATTACAATTTGTCATGCGCAGTTGCGCACTAGAAAATTACCAATCACTGGGCGTGTCAATCAATTTAAAGAAAAATTTTATTAACATACATTAATAATCATGAAAAATATTTTGAATTGAACTCGAGTGGACTCGGGAATAAGTCCGAGTCCTAAAAAAAAATGTTCGAGGACGAGTCATTTCCGAGTCCAAATGCACACGAGTCCATGACAAGACCAAGACCATTAAAATATGGTCTCAAAACCGCACTGCTATAATCAACATTCAGCATGATATGGTGCAGGAGGTTACAACCTTAACAGACCATACGGTAGGCTACCATTAGAGTTTGGGGTCAGTAAGACTTTTTTTCAGTCATGTTATTCCAACCCTGTAAGACTTAGAAAAAGTCTCTTATGCACCAAGGCTGCACTTATTTGATCAAAAAAGGCACTAAAAAGAGTAATATTGTGAAATTTCCTATCTGAATCATGTATTCCTGTGATGCCAAGCTAAATTTTTAGCATCGTTGCTCCAGTCTTTAGTCACGTGATCTTTATTTTGCTGCTCAATAAACATTATTGTTATCAATATTGAAAGAACTAACAGCATTTATTTGAAATAAAAATATTTCGTAACTTTAAAAATGTCTTTACTGTCACTTTCGACCAATGTGCCCTTGCTTAATAAGAGTATTAAGATTAAAGAAACACTTTTGAATGGTAACTTATTATCTTTCCTCACAAACTGACCCCTGATTAAATACACTGCGCTATTATGATTACAACCCAATTACTTAAGCATTCGTTCCTTCATATGAGAAAATAACTTACAGTTTCGTCAGTCAGAGAGCGAATTTGCTCCTTAAGTTCGTTAATTGAGCTCTGTTGACTCGTCGAGTCCATGTTGTGCAGCTGTCAGAGGTGTGTCTGGTTTCTATAAACACTGGAGTCTCCATGGGCGTTTATAATGAACTTCACTCTCACTGAGGAACAGCAAACTGTGTACAGCAGCTCCATCTGACGTATTACCGCGATCTACTTCAACTGATGCAACATGTTCTAACACAAAATTGATAAAGTACTTGTACATTTGACTTTGAGAGATGTATTGTAATTCACTCAAAAATGCAACATGATTAAGTAAATGCGTAGAAAATGTATTAAAATGTATACAAGATATATGATACAAAGGTAGCAGAACAAGTCTGGTCATTAAATAATTTGTAAATTTTACAAAATGGCTTAAATATAGTGGTCCCGCTAGATTGTTATTGAAAAGGCCACACACACATCACATACATAAGTGCATCCTGCGCATTCACACACAAGCCACTCTACTTAAGGCAGCCTGCAAAGCGGCTTTAACAAAATCACACATCAACTTTCAAAGACGTCCCATTTACCGGCAGTCCCATAGAAACATGGCACGTCTTTTTAAAAATGGACCAAGACTCAGACAGGCATACTTCGGTAGGCTAGTCGTGTGCATTAAGAAATGTGTGTGATTATCTGGAGGCATCTTGATGACCATCAATGATTGATGTTCTCATCTTCCTCCACCTCTTCCTCATCATCGGCAGCATGGGCATCGTTTGTGTTTCCGTAGACCAGGCGGATTCCAGCAGCGTTTTGAAGAGCCTCCAGACTGGTTTGACTCACATATAAACTCACATTTATGTTGGGACGTGTTGATCTCAATTCCTCTATTTTACTCCATGCCTAATAATACACATAGAGAAACACAAAATTATAACTGGAATTTCTGAAAATGAATGAATGCAACTCCAATGTGCACGGCTTCCGTTGTGATGCACTTCTTATTATTTTAGCTGTACAAAACTTGATAGTGGAGACTGGTATTTGTTATAATATTATTTTAATTTATTAGCGTAAACATTTTAGTAAGTAATTTTACCATTTTACCATACCTTCTAGTTATTTACCTATAGAGGCTAATGAATCGGAAATCTTGCACATTCACAGAAAATATTTTGTGATTTGCAAGAATATATAAGCAACTCAAACTTGGATTGGCACTTCTTTAGGAAATACGGTAAAATGTGCATGCTTTTAAGCTGATGTCATTCAATGAAACATGTAAGAGATGACAGTGGTGATATTTTACCTTGTGAGCATGAGTGTGTGTTCTCACTCTTAAAACTTATTTGTTTAGGGTAGCTTTTATTTAATTGTTGAATTTTTTTTATTATTATTATTAAATGTTTTTATTTTGTATTTTATTGCATTGTTTGTTTAATTGTATGTTTTATTATTATGTTTCTATATTTGTGAAGCGCTTTGAAGTAGCTAATGAATGGGTCGATGAATTATGTCTGTAATCATGCAAGATGAATGCAAATGCACCAAGTTTCGATAGACTCAACCAGCACAATGCTACTAGGGAACAATCGTACTCTGATTCGGACTGCAGCAAACAGTGTAAAGCCCCAATAAAACACAACATGAACTTTTATTAAAATCTGGCAACCCTATCTAGATCATGTGGATAATGTGATATTAGAATGTGACTGACCTCGATGATATTGTTACATTATATTTCAACTGTAGAATATTGGAGCACCCTTTTGGGGAGGGAGGGAGGGGGATTTTTTATTTTTTTTTTACTTTTATTTTTTTTTACGGTAGTCTACTTGTTTTTCTGTTTTTGTTTTTGTAAACTTAGAGCTGAAAATAAAGTATTCACAAAAAAAAAAAAAAAAAAAACAACATGAACCTCAATGTGTAGATACCTGCTGGAAGTTGCCATGATGGCAGTAGTATTCCACCAGGAACCCATACACATCTCCAATACGCACCGCAGGGTCCAGATCCTTCTCTTCCAGCAGAGACTCACACACACGCACCGCTTCTACTGGATCCTCTTCGTGCATCCTTGACACACACAAATACATTTGCAAACGTGTGCACAGGTGTTGAATGAATGCACAAACGAAATGCTAGTATTTCATCGGTACCTGCGTGCCTGAATGAATCTCTTGATGAGTCCGAGTTTGTGTGTCAGTATGAGGATCCTGCTGTCAGCCTCGTCTCCACTGCGACTCTTTGCTTTAGTTAGACACTTGCAGGCCTCTGTCAGAGCTCCATACGCCTTCTCATAATTCTGATAATCATCGATTTCCACCTGTGAACAAACACCACAGTAAATCATCACTGTATTTAAGTGTTCGCGTTCGTGACTCTCCTATTCGAACTCGTTCATCAAAAAGAACAAATCTTTTTGCGAGTCATTTGGTTCATTCAACGAATGAAATACACAAAATGACTCGAAAAAAGATTCGTTCATTCATTCGAGTCACGAACGCTCATCACAGAACAGAGCAAGGCGAGCATTTGTGCTTATAAAACTTGAACTTTGTTGTTTATTTTTTAAATGAGCGATTGTTTCGCTTGATAAGACCCTTATTCATCGTCTGGTGTCGTTTAAAGCCCTTTGAAGCTGCACTGAAACTCTCATTTGGACCTTGAACCGTTTGGTTCCCATTGAAGTCCATTATATGGAGAAAAATCCTGGAATGTTTTCATCAAAAACCTTAATTTCTTTTCAACTTTTCAGTACCTCAGCACAGGCCTCATAAAAGCCGGCGAGCAGGTCGAGTGCACGTCCTTTTGTGTAGAAGCCAATGATGTTCTTCATGATGTCCGGGTCGTTCCTCCAGTCCAGAGACTGCAGGTAGTTGGCTGCCATTATGTAAATTTCCTTCTGTCTGGAAACGCCTGCGAAAAACACTATTTTCTCTGTATCGCCGGATTTCAACAGCGCTCGCATCGCCTGTCAAAGACAAGAACAGAAAAGAAAAGCTTGATGTCTTTGCTTTTCTGGTGAAGACCTATTTCAGGATGACAGAAGATATAAACAAGAATAAATAGCTGGTGAAAATGCATCAGATTTATCTTAGAGGTCCAAAATGTGCAAATGAAATGCAATTTGGTACTGATGTTTTTGATTATATTGCCAAAAAGTAAGATGAAATTTTGATTTAATTGTAAAACAGTACAGCAGACTACTTGCATAAAATGCATATTAATATTTTGCAGTTGTCATTCAAAATCTCTCGATATATCTAAATGCTTAGTTTAATGATCAAATCTCTGTAGTTTTAATAGTGTGTGTGTGTGCAGGGGCACATAATGCAAAGCAATATAAAAATGATCGAGAGATAAAAGACATTCTTCAAAAGTAATACATAGATTGTGTGCAACAAAGTTCTGATCATTTGGATAATTTAGAGGCCTTAGAAATTCATGCATCAAATACGATACACTAGTAGGTTTTATAGTGTTAATTCGAGCTGAAATTATTTAAATTGAAGACGTGATTAGGAAGAATGTGAAATAAAATGAGTAACATATAACTAGCACAGTGCAGGAAACTGATTGGGAAAAGGTCAATTCGTCGCAGAGAGCCATGATTGACCAATCAGAATCATGTATTCCAGAAAGCCATGTCATAAGATGGGAGTTTAAATCAGCTGTTGATTTGAGCAGAAACCAAACCTTGATCTTGTTTCCAGCTTGTGTGTATTTCTTAGTGGCGAGGTGATAGTTGCCCTGGCGCATGCAGCAGTCTGCGATTTTCTCCAGCAGCTCCTTTCGCTCGGCCTCAGACAGATGGGTCGAGTCTTTTGACACCGTCAGACTTTCAGCCAGATCTTCTGTGATGTTCAAACTCTGGTCCAAACACAACTGGAGCGCCTCATGGTACTAAACGCACACGTTTCAAAACACTAGAATTAAAAAGGGTTCTGTTTGCATGCATAAATGTTACGAACATGACTGAATGCATGACAGTGTTCACCTTTTTGGCAGCCACCAGCAATTCCACAGCTTTCTGGTACTGAGCGTGTTTTATGAAGAAATCTGAGCAGCGTGCTAGTAAGGCAGGGTCGCTGGTCTCATTCAGGTCCTCTGCGATCAGCTGCAGAGCTCCAAACTGCTCTGTGGCAAAAGCTAGTTCTAAAGCCTTAGAGACGTGACCTGCCTGGAACGGTGCGATGTTACATAAGTGATCGGCACCACCTAGTGGTTAAGTTTGACACAACAACACGTATCTGAATGTGAAATGACACACACCTTATGATAAAGCATAACAGCTCGGTCCATGTGTGTTCCTTTCTCTTCATAATACATGGCCGTGTCCATCATGTCTTCCGGATTGCTGAGCAGCGCCAGATTCATGAGTTGCTCGTCCAAGTTATTCTCTTTACACAGCCGGATGGCGTTGTTATATGCTTGTGCTCGTGTGTAGAAGTGCACCGACTGGCTGATTTCATCCTGTCCCTCGTACTGACGTGCAACATGGTAAGACGCTGCTCTGTTCCCCGTCTCATTGGCTATCTCACTCGCCTGAGAAATATACAGACAGAGATGTATAAAGTACTAGAAACCCAGACTTGAGTAAAAGTACCAAAAAAGTGACTTGAGTAGAAGTTGAAGTGCTCTTTAAGCACCGCACTTAAGTAGAAGTACTAAAGTATTCAACATTTTTTGTACTTAACTATTGCAAGTAGTCTATTTTAAAATGAGTACAAGTATTATGTCATGTAATTATTAAAGAAAGCAGTCAAAAGTTTGAACTAGCAATCAAATAAGGCGCTTTGGCGGGATACAAATTTGCTTTGGCGGCCGCCAAAAAATGTCATTGCTGGATAACCCCTGCATTTGTCAATGTGTGTGTCAATCAATACCATTACTCTATAAAACTGGCGAGCAATTTAGGCAGCATGAAAGCCAACTTGCAACGAATGATTCGTAATTTTTTATAATTGTAACGAGTAACTAGCGGAACATTAAAAAAATATCAAAGTAAAAGTATTAAATTCATCAAAAATATCTACTGAAGTAAGAGTAGAAGTATGAGAAAAAAAAACAGTACAGATACAGCATTTTAGTACTTAACCCTTGTGCATCAATTAAAAAAAGTTACACATAGGTAAAAAGAGGACAAAAATGTCCATGTCAAAAAACTGTCATAAAAATGTGACGCTTTGGAGCACAGACTTAAGTTTGGTATCATTTTAAAGAAGACCCTTTGCAGATTATTGCTGAAGTAAAAAAAAAAAAAAAAAAGTAAATCCAAAAAAAAGTTATATAGGTATAAGTTTATGAAAATTATTTATAAAAAATATTTTATATAAAATATATATATTTTAAATCAGGTTGAACTCAAAACTGCAATAAAATCAAAGTCACAAATCTAAATAGGTTGATTTCCAAATTTGAGGATGATATCTCAAAAAATGAGCTTTCAGTAACAGTTTGTTTGGGCGTAGTAACATATTTTCCCCATTGGTGCTCACAGTGATTGGATTTGAATTTGCAGTTTTTCTCTCTCAGTATTACAAACACACACATGCGCGCACACACACATATTTTTTTATAACACGCATATTAACCACACTCCGACATCCATACCAACACACCCACACAAATATTGTTGCATAATTTATCCAGTCGGCTCTATAGTATGCCGAAGCAGAAAACAGGAATAAAGCAATATTTGTTTTATAGGCCAAACTTAAAAAAATGACACCATCTGATAAAAAATAGTAAAAAATAAAATTTTGAAGCCTTGCCATCAGAATGAAAGCCTCTTAACAAAGATTGCATAATTTTATAGTTAACTGAACCGGGGATTAAAAATGGCATTTTTAATGGGTTTCAATGGGGACATTTTTGTCCAAAAGGCGCTGAGGGGAGTATTTTTTGTACCTAATGCAAAAAATATTTTTTTAAGTAAATGACGGTGGAATAGTAAAATTTCAATAAAAATACACACCTGTGGCAAGTTTTTTGCAGTTAGCTTGGCTTTCATGAAGGATTCATAAATCATCTCTGCACAGTTACTCAATGCAAAGTGATCAAAAAAACAAAACTGAAAAGGACAAAAATGTCCATAAGGATGCACAAGGGTTAAGTAGTTCTACTTCGTTACTAAACACCTCTGTATACAGATCAGCGTGAAGGATTCAATGCATCGAGGAAACTCCAAATTCAAATCAAATTCATCAAACATACCTTCTGAATGTTTCCTAGATAACAGTGCACGCGCACTTGAGACAGGTAGTCCTGAGCGAAGGCGTAGTAATGCAGCGCAGCCTCCATGTCTGATTGGCTCTCCAGATAATGACCCCACCACTTATACAGATCCCTGTCCAATCACACACACCAGACAACGGACCGTGGGAATATGAAAGCCATGCCAGACTGCAGGGGGCATAACCATGAATCATCTCTGCACAGTTACTCACTTGTCCTTCATTTTATTGATGTAGATCTCCAATGAAACATTGTCCTCCATCAGCATTCTCGGAACTTCAAACCGATGCGTGTCTGACTTCTCGAAGCTATTGAGTGGGAAAGAAAAGAAGTAACAGACCACAAAGAGATTTTACTTCTTTAATCTGAGCAGCAAAATGATCTCTGAACGATCATGAGAAATATGCTGACATTTCAACGTTGACGACAGGAATAATCATTTACATAGAAAACAGTTACTTTAAATCAACATGTACCACTGCCAAATTTTCTATATATTTTAATAATTGTGTAAATAATTACTTGAATGAGCTTATTGTTTCTGCATAATGCTATCAAACTGTATGATTTGTGTTATCTTATTTTTATTTCTGAGAAATGGACAGACTTTTTATTTAGACTTTCATCTCTGATAACAGATCACTTTAAAGTATACAATTAAATGTGAATTGAATTTGTAAAACATTTCATTACTGTTTTTGCTGTATTTCCAGTGAGCATAAGAGACTTCTTTAAAAAAAAAAACATAAATAATATGGTGAAGTGTCCCATAGCTTTCTGATTTAATAAAGGAGTTAGAAAATATACATTTTGCACAAAAATCAAATCCCTGTGACCTCAGAGTGCATGTGATTGTGTGTGACGGTGACACTCACTACACCAGCGCTAGGGTCTTGTCCCCCATGGCCTCCAGGTGTTTGGCGTAGCTGTAGTATGTGGTTCGGAGGTGAATGCGGTCGTGTGTTTCTGCCGTCTCTACCGCCTGCTGCCACTGACCTGCCGCCTGATAAAACTTGTTCAATAAATCAAACCTCCCGCATGACTTATACAAATGCTCGGCATCCTCCTGCGAAAAAAGAGAGAGATGCGGAGATAAACCCAAATGTTTAAATCCAAATGTTTAGTTCTTGTTATTGTACTGAACGAGACAGAGAGGCTCCGAGTGCACAAGGTTTATTTAGATAACGTTGTGTTTGTGCTTGTGTGATTTAAACACGTCATTTGCGATGTATTCAGCTTCCATAATGTGACATACCTACATAAAACAGCAGGAAAGTTGTTCCAGAGGTGGGGAAAGATAATAGATAACAACAACTTTCCTTTCTTTAATAATAATGCACACTACTGAATGTGCACAATGAGAACGGGAACATTTATAAGGTTAGCATATTTGACTCATTTTTGTGTGTCTTACCAGCATGCCCAGCTGTGTCGCCAGTACGGCCACCTGTGCCTCCAACTCCGGCTCTTTTTCAGCGTCCCTGAGAGCACGAGCCGCCCGTGCGTTACCCATGTTCCCCAGACACACGCGCGCCACGTCCAGACGACGACTCTTCACACACATCCGTGCCATGTTCTCCCACACCGCCTCACTGGAGATTCAATCACAAACATGCACACATTTTACATTAACATATATGTATTTGGCAGATGCTTTTATCCAAAGCGACATTGCATTGAGGATATATATTTTATTTTATGGTTTCCTTGGAAATCTAACCTATGGTTCATTGCTATTGACAACTGTTTGAGCAATAGGAATTAATAAAAAAAAACAACATTATATATAATATTCAGATTTTATTTTCATATGTTCATGTATATTATATTCAGATATTCAGTGGTTCATGTAGATTCTCTACAAACCGAAAGGTTGGTGGTTCAGTCCCTGGTTCCACCTGACCAAGTGTCGAGGTGTCCATGAGCAAGTCACCTAACCCCGGCTGCTACCGACCAGCTGGATGGCGCCTTGTATGGCTGACACCGCCGTCGGTGTGTGAATGGGTGAATGTGAGGCAATATGTAAAGCGCTTTGATGGCCATTGGGTCTGTGAAAGCGCTATATAAATGCAGTCCATTTATGTCTTTTTTCTCAACACTTTAAAGGAGTAGTTCACTTTAAAAAAAAACTTTTGCTGATAATTTACTCACCCCCATGTCATCCAAGATGTTCACGTCTTTCTTTCTTCAGTCGAAAAGAAATTAAACATTCCAGGATTTTTCTCCATATAATGGACTTCAATGGGGTCCAAACGGTTCAAGGTCCAAATGAGAGTTTCATTGCAGCTTCAAAGGGCTTTAAACGACACCAGACTATGAATAAAAGTCTTATCTAGGACCCTTTGAGTCATGACTCGAAAAAAGATTACTTCATTTTGATGAACGAGTTCGAATAGGAGTCACAAACGCGCATCACAGAACAGAGCAAGGCGAGCATTTGTGCTTATAAAAACTTAAACATTTTTATTTATTTATTAAATGAGCGATCCTTTCGCTTGATAAGACCCTTATTCATCGTCTGGAATCGTTTAAAGCCCTTTGAACAGTTTGCTATTTGCACTGAAACTGTCTTTTAGATCTTGAACCGTTTGGACCCCATTGAAGTCCATTATATGGAGAAAATCCTGGAATGTTTTCATCAAAAACCTTAATTTCTTTTCGACTGAAGAAAGAAAGACATGGACATCGTGGATGACATGGGGGTGAGTAAATTAATTAAAGTGAACTATACTCCTTTAAGATCTGCACTGTATAAAAGTGTGGATACATGCACTGAAACAACAAAGCATCAGATCTGTCTTAAAATGGTGTGAGGACGTGTTAAAGATGATGTTAGCGCAGTCTTTTGTCTCTTCAGCACTCAGCAGCTGCACTTTGAGTGTTTCTGCTCTTTCTCCTTTCGTTCCACCTCATGAGCGAACCGTTTCAGCTATGCATGGAATGACCCCATCAACACCCAACACTCTCTCTCCCACATTCCCTCTCTCCCACTCGCTTGGCCCTTCGTGCCCTCGCTCCTTTTTTCATCCAGTCCCATCTGGTCTTTATTTATCCAAAATCCCCCAGTTCTCTCGTCTTTTTCGCTCCGTTCGGCTTTAGTAGATACAGATGTGGGCTGTTTATTAGAGTTAAGCACCAGGAAATTCCCTGAATCTTTGGGGGCCCAGAACAACAGAAAAGTAGAGAGAGAACCAAATCCAACCAGTAGTATGATTTATGATTCATCCCTTTAATGGATAAAGTCAATTTTTACATTGTTTTGGCTATGTAGCTTCTTCAATGTGCATCTGTAGGATTATTTTTTTCACTTGTTTTATGGTCCAGCAGGTGAAAAAGGTTCATCTGCCCACTATAACAGAACAGCTCTCCTCAATAACACAGTATTTGAGGAAATCATTCATGTCTGGAGTGAAAGCTGAACTTTAATACTTAGTGCTACAGGTATATTTCACTAAATACATGATGTTACATCTCCCGCTCCATTAATAAACCTCTCACTGAGTCAAAGAGAGAAAGAGGACGGCGTTGCATTCTGTTCTGTCTGTTTTCCTTCCAGGAAACACATCCTGTAGCTGGAGTAACATGTTAGCCACAGAGAGAAAGAGAGAGAGAGAGAGAGAGAGATGTATTCCCAAGTACTCCCTACCCTCAAAGTTCTCCTCAGCTTTTCAGGGATGAAGTACACACGCTTGTGAACATGGGAAACTGGTTAGGATGAGTAATCTGAGATAAACGAGTGAGAAAGAACAAAAAGCACAGAGACCGCATCACGTAGACATTCCTCAGCGGGAGAAAAAAACCGACCCAGCGCACATCTGCAGGAGAAAGGGGGAGGAACAGACAGAGAAAGGACGAGGATTTCTTGTTTATGTGATGGCCTTGGAGGTCCAGCGTCCAGCCCTACGAGCAGCATCGGTCCCGGACTCTGAGGAAGAGGGCTAGAGACTCCTCAAGACACAAGAATGAGTGGCGATGTCCTCTAGCTAACCTCTCACAGCGTTCATGCCGCTCTGCGTTTAGCGTGCACGTGTACCCGTGGACGTTTCAGGTGTTTGAGAGGCGTATGGCCGTTCGCAGGCTGGTGGCGGTGGCGGCGGCGGTGGCCCTGCTTTCTCTGGTGCTCAACAACGTGGCGACGTTCAGCTCTAACTGGGTGTTACAGGTGCTGGAGGACGGACGGAGGAGAAGCGTCGGGCTCTGGAGAGCGTGTGCGCACGAGGACACGCACACTCACGAGCTCACACCGTGCCAGAGACTCAGCTGGGGATCGGAGTTCGCGGGGTACCAGGAGTCACGCAGCACTGTCAAACGTGAGTCTCCGTGATGCAGCTAGAGCGTGTGAGGGAAATGCAGCAAATCAACAGATTTATGAACTTTTTAATGCTACTAATTTAACAGAAATATTTTAATTTTCAACGTATCATGTACATTCAATTAGAAATTTTACTGAACATAAATCATAATATTTTATGTGTATATTATTTCAGTGCCAAGCATGATACAAAATTAATGTCTGACATTAAACACTAAAAAATATATAAAATGTCCATAGTGTACATGTTTCATAAATATATTTCATATTTAAGTGAACATCAACTTTGCTAATGTTTCACGTTACTTTAAAATAACTTTCAGTAAGTTATTATTTAAAGTGTTACCACTCCACAAAATGTTTTAAATGTTATATATATATATTTATATATATGAAGAGTTCAGATGCAAAAGCCTCTAAATGCCATTTGAAATTTTCTTCTAAAATGACCATTTTTATCAAGCTTGTATATTTAAGTTCAGTAATTTCACTTAAATGACAATTAATAGGTAATCTTCATTACCATTTAAGTGAAATTACTGAACTTAAATATACAAGCTTGATAAAAAATAATCATTTTAGAAGAAAATTTCAAATTGCACTTAAAGGCTTTTGCATCTGAACTCTTCATATATATATATATATATATATATATATATATATATATATATATTTTACATTTATTCATTTAGCTGACGCGACTTACAATTGCTATGTATGTCAGAGGTCGCACGCCTCTGGAGCAACTAGGGGTTAAGTGTCTTGCTCAGGGACACATTGGTGTCTCGCAGTGGATTCGAACCCGGGTCTCACACCACAGGTATTTATTTATTTATTTTTATTTAACCTTTATTTTACCAGGTAGGCCGATTGCGAACAAATTCTCATTTACAACGGCGACCTGGCCAAGATAAGGTGAAAAAAAGTGCAAGACAACAATAAGTTACACAATAAATAGACAAGGCACAGGAGACAAATTTACAAAATACAGTGAAACACAATAAGACAATACAGGGTCAAGATAAGGTACATGTAATTCTATTGGGTAACCAAAATTAAACACACAAATATTTTTATGATAAAAGGTATAAATAGATAAAATCATCTAAAATCATCCACAGGTATGTGTCTTATCCACTGCGCCATCACCACCCATATAAATAAATATATATATAAAATTTTATGAAGGGGTAACGCTTTCAAAAGCCACAAAATTTGTCAAAAAGTGTTACATTTTTTCACAGATATTTTATGTATATGATTGCGTGTATGAACTGCTTGCATTCATAAAAAACTTAGCTTAAGAGTCCTCCTCAAATGAAGGACATGCCTAGTGGTTGTCTGGCTAGTATTAAACCATGGCAACTCTCACTGGAGATTTGCTGGCCTGTATCATGCAGCCTGGCACGTCTGTCCATCTATCCTGATTTAGAAATAGGAAACGGATGGACACAGTGAAGGATTGTGTCTTTCAGGAAGTGACACCCACATTGGCAAAGTTGTGTCTCATGCACATCTGCAGCTGGATCTTCCTTACAATGATTCAGATGTTCTACCCTCACACACACACACACACACACACACACCTGCTCATACACAATGTAAAACATGCTTTTTTAAAGGGATACTCCACTTTTTTTGGAAATAGGCTCATTTTTTCAACTCCCCCAGAGTTAAACAGTTGAGTTTTACTGTTTTCAAATCCATTCAGCCGATTTTCTGATATTTATTAGAATATCAGTGACCAGACAGTTTCTGGTCTCATTGACTTCCATAGTATATTTTTTTCCTACTATGGAAGTCAATGAGACCAGAAACTGTCTGGTTACTGATATTCTAATAAATATCAGAAAATCGGCTGAATGAATTTGAAAACGGTAAAACTCAACTGTTTAACTCTGGGGGAGTTGTAAAATGATTGAGTATGAGTATCCCTTTAAAGTTATTTCATGCTTAATTAAACTTAACTTGCCATTTCTTTGTAATTACTTGTGAAATTTCAGAGTGGATTTTATTTTCAGTCCATGTACATGTTGGGTTTGAATCACAAACCAGTTTCTCTTTTCTGTTTACAGTTCAGTTTGACATGATGCGGGCATGTAACCTGATGGCTACGGTGGCTCTGACCGTGGGTCAGCTAATCTTCCTGTTTGGGTTATTGGAGATAAGCCACATTACCCAGGATTCTCAGTGGTGGGAGGAGGCCATCGCAGCCCTGTTCCAGTTAGCCAGTAAGTGTGCAAGCCAGTTTGTACAAACACTAACAGCCTCTTTGAGGAGCTTCACTAAGCCTGACAGAAACACAACACGCCCACCTTCAAATAACACATTAGTTCTTTAATATCTAAGCCGTCTGTCCTTAGAGATACGGCCTCTATTGTCCTATGTTTGTTGTTCTGCATTTTGGGAAAGGAAAGATGGAGCTTTGAGGATCTATAACAGAACTAACATCAACAAAGCATAGCAGCCTGAGCGCAGCGACTACACACAATTCAACAGGAAACAACAGAGTCCTGGCCAGAAGCCCGCTGACAAATTAAATTAACTCCCATTTGGGACGAACGGAGGCCCGTCTCTTCAAAACACGCTGCTGATGTCCCATGAAAGTGTGCTGGCTGTGATGTTATCTCGTTTTATCGCGTGTTCATTTTGAATGGTTTGCGCATCCTTCATCTGCATGGATGTTTAAATGCTGACTCGACTGGCATTCTTAATCTGCATGATCTGCAAATTGATGGCGTATTTTATAAATAAATAAAAGAACATAACAAAACACCCAGAACATTCTAGAAACACCCAAGCAACCGCTCAGAACACCCTAGTTACATCCTAGCAACTACCACACTAGAAAATCCCAGCAATACCCTAGAAACCTCCCAGAAAACCCTACACTCTTAGAAGAAATGGTTCTATTTAGAACCAGAAATGGTTCCATCCCCCGCTTCATATATGGAACTCCAAAATGGTTCTATATAGAACCATTTTTTTTGGTAAAAGCTTCTATTGGCCAAGTATGGAACCACAGGGTTCTATATAGAACCCAGAGGAACCCTTTTTTAAGAGTGTATAGAAACTTTTAGGGGTTCCAAATACGTAGCGCTGATAGAACTTTTACGGTTCTATATAGAACCTTTTCTTCTAAGAGTGTAGCATCCATCTAACAACGCCCTAGTACCCACCTAAATCACAAAACATGGAGTATCTTATAAATAAATAAAAGGCCATTACAAAACACCTTGAACATTTTACCAACAACCTAGCAACTGCCCATAACAACACCCTAGAACACTATAGCAATGTCTTACTAACCACCCAGAACAGCCTAGGTGGTTACCTAGCCCTAACCATCACCCTAGCAACACCTAAGCAACCACCCAGATTTGGGTGAAAAAAATCTAATCGCAATTTCATATCATGAATTTGTTTAATTAACTCATAGCCATGGCGATTTAATTATTTAAGCCATGTTGTGATTTCAGTTTTAATTTAATCAAACATGCTGTCCTACTAGAGTACCCTAGCAGGCACCTAGCAACACCTTAGCAACCACCCAAAACACCCCAGCACCAAGTTTTGCACAGCCAAGCACGACTCGAAGCATGACGTTTTATTCATACATGTAAAAAATGTAGTTAATAAGAATTCTTTGATCACACCCGCTGTTTTCTTAACCCCGGGTCATTTTTTATAGCCACCCTGAACATTTCCTGTGTTATTAGAAAAAGTTATTCATCAAAGATGTCAGTGACTCCATGGTCTGGCTTTTGTGATGTAGTGCTACGATGGTGGTCTGCTACTAGTGTAGTATATCAGTACAGCAACTGCCTGTGTATGTGTGCGTCGTTTTAAGTGTGACAATAGCTATATTTAGCTAAACGGGGTCCAGAGCACCAGCGGCCGCCGCACAGCTCCAGAGAGCGACAGTCAGGCGCCAGGATATCCCTGCTCAGGACGAGGAAGTGTCTGTAACTACCTGTTATGCAAACCCAGAGCCGCAGAGGAAAGACGGGGAGGGGGTGTGTGACAGTAAGGAGTGGGGTGGCCGAGTGTCAGAGTTATTAGACATGGACTTGAACGGGAATTGATGATATCTCAAGAAGCGCAGACCGACACAGAAGAAAGAAAAGTGGATGTGTGTGACGCCACGGAGGGACATATTTCATCAGGACAGTTCTAGAATCTCTCAAAATGTGTGCTGTGTGTGTGTTACGGGTAGAGGAAACAAGTGTCCTGATTAACTGTCCCTGCAATACTGTGTCTGTTTACACAATCTCAAGGAACAGACTATGTCTGACAAAATGAAAACAATCATGTCCTCGTGCTGCCATATAAATTATAAACAAGCACAAACTGCTTCCCTGAAGTAAACGGGGGAAACCCAATCAGATGCAGGCAAACCATCAAGTCTTTATAAACATCCATACGTAACCCAGGCAAAGGCAATTGCACAGTTTAAGTGTGCTGACTAGACACATTTTACACAACGGTGCCATTGAACAGGGACTTGATGATCGTTCAAGGCTAGTTTCTTGTGTCCTTAATTTCAAACTTTTCAAAATTACTTTGTGTTAAAGGGTTTGTTCACCCAAGAATGAACGTTATCCCATTATTTACTCATCCTCAAGCCATCCTAGGTGTATATATAAATGAGTTTCTTCTTTCAGACAAACAAAATCGGGAGTTATATTAAAAAAATTTCCTGGCTCTTCCATGCTTTATAATGGGATTGAATGGTACCACAGATTTTGAAGCCCAAAAAAGTGCATCCATCCATCATAAACGTAATCCAATATGACTCCAGTGGGTTAATAAAGACCTTCTGAAGCAAAGCCATGTGTTTTTGTGAGAAAAATATCCATATTTATAACTTTATAAACCATAATCACTTGCATGAGGTAACGGCCGTACACGAGTCTAGTTCTGGTGGAAGAGTGACCTCTGACCCGAAGCATCATGTACGCAGAATCATAGAGGATAGAGCAAAACAAAACAATGGTCACACATTAGAAGCCTAAAATTAGAGAATATATAAGAGAAGACGATCGCGAGAGGTAAACGTATGCTATTCCAACATCCTTTCGATATTCGCAGTCCACCGAGCGGAAGAAGAAACCACTGAACAACACCAACGAAGAAGCGTCTACCGGAAGTGTTGGCATAACCACGCGAGTCGAACATGAGTAACTTACGTCGGCGATCCAAAGTGTGGCTTCACTTTTCTAAAAATAACGAAATCAACAAAAGGAGTATTTTTACAGAAGGAGTATTTCCTTCAGAAAGGCCATTGGTTAGCAAGGTTAGCTAAACTTTTTTGACCCTGCCTCTTAAAAGAATCGGAATCGAGAATCGCTAGAAACCGGAATCGAAACAAGGAATTGGAATCGGAATCAGAATCGTTCAAATTCAAACGATACCCAACCCTACTCGCGTACGAACATTACCGGAAGCCAGTGATCACCTAGGACAACAACATAATTGTGACATCCTTATGCAAGAAAAATGATCAAGAACATATGATTGATGTGTGTCTGAATCCTTGACATGATGTTTTCACCCTGATTGCTGTCAGGACGTCAATGACTGACTAAATGTCATATTCCCTCATTGAAGAATCAGTACAATCAGCAACAGAGAATATTCTAGCAACCACTGTGCAACATCACCTGGATAGAAAAACCAAGCAAAGTCCTAGAAACCACCTACTGTAGAACATAGATGCTTCCATCCATTAAGTGCATCCCAATTAGTGCAACTATGCATTATTCTATGCCGTTTTATGAGTAGTGAGTTCACGCTGAAAACTCCACATAGAAAAAGCACACTTTTAAAACCCGGATGATGCACTTGATTTACTGAAAAACGTTGGACTTTATGCACTCAACTGGCACTACTCGATTGAGTACATAAGCACATAGGATGTCATTTTGGAAACAACTAATGACTGACTAAATGTAATATTACTTCAGTCAAATAAAAACTAGAGGTCGACCGATATGGTTTTTTTTCACGCCGATGCCGATACCGCCCTTTTGAAATCCGGTTCCGATGGCCGATTTATTTCGGCCGATATTTGCTTGGTTTTTAACCTCTATTTGAAAGATAAAATGTAAAATAAATTATAATTACTTAACATAGACAAACTTTCTCAACAAAAACATTTTATTCTCTCAAAAAATGTCCGGAAACATGTATTTTTGGTTTGTTTTGTTTGTTAATAATCGGCTTGATATACTTGGATATTGGCTGATGCCGATTTGTTAAAAAATGCCAAAAATCGGCCGATTAATCGGTCTACCTCTAATAAAAACCTACTTAAAAAATCTGATTGATTAACAGTGTAATCTACTAGACAGAATTAAATCCATTTGTTCAGACAATGTTTGGTAGATCTACATTATAGTTATAAAAGAGAAATTTCCCCTCTGCTCAAGTCCATCATGACATCTCATCACAGTTCTGAACTCATTATGTGAATTAGACAACATACAGTAAGTGTCAGAGTCTCCATTTACAAATCGCAACGGAAACCACACACCTGTTAAACTTTAAACTTTAAATACACACCGAATGCCACATGAGTGTACAAAAGTGGATTCAGACAGCTGACTGCACTCTGTGTGTGATGTCATGATCCAAAATGACAAAAAAAAAAAACCTTGAAATATAATCTGACGGAAATACATTTCTAAAACTGGACTAGGGTGCATATATGGATGTGATTTGGATCAGGTCTGTAAACATCATGTATTTCATGAGTGTTTTTTCTGTTAGACTACAGTCTACAAACAACTAAATGGATCTGAAAGGGTTTTTCTTTTAATATATCAAAAACTAAAACTAACTTTTGCTGCCTGTCAATAAAACCAATCAAGAATAAACATGAGAAAGAAAGTGAGGGAGAGAGAGAGAAAAAAACATCTGTTCCTGATATCAATTTAATCGAGTCTGTTATGTACAATACAGTACATCGTGTTCTAGTTCAATTGTACGAGCGTGTGTGAGTAAGAATCGTCAGATGAAACTGAATGAAATGGAGGGAAGGAAGGAAGAATGGAAGGATAGAGGAGAGAAGGAAGGAAAGGGGATGACATCGGGCCAAAAAAAGCTGCATTCAGAATAAAAACAGAATGAACAAATGACTCGCTCGCTCTTGCTTCTGCCTAAATAAAACACGCGTGTAACATGAGCTGAATCCTGTAACTTTTTCCATTTCGTTGCTCTCCTGCACTCAATTCATCTCACATCCTCTGCGTTCTGTATTTCTGGGAATCTACTGTTGTGTTTTCAGGCCACAGTTATTAATAACACATGTACTCGGAGTCTTTACAGGAAGTGGGAGACGCACTACTCCTATTAGTCGAAACCAACTCAAATCAGTCAAAAGGGAAGAGGATTGAACTATTATTATGGTTGTGATGAATTAAAGGAATGTTTCAGGTTCAGGCTCTATGGTCAGCTACGTGACATGCCGTCTAATACCAAAGAAAATAATTCGGTTAGTAAAAAAACAAATACGAATGGTGTTCACAGTAATGCACTTACAATAAAAGTCTATGAGAAACAGCTTTGGGAGTGTGTGCAAAAGAAGAATGTGCAGCTCAAAAACATGTGCTCTGACTTAAAGGAGTAGTTCACTTTTAAAAAAAAAACTTTTGCTGATAATTTACTCACCCCCATGTCATCCAAGATGTCCATGTCTTTCTTTCTTCAGTCGAAAAGAAATTAAGGTTTTTGATGAAAACATTCCAGGATTTTTCTCCATATAATGGACTTCAATGGGAACCAAACGGTTCAAGGTCCAAAAGAGAGTTTCAGTACAAACTGTTCAAAGGGCTTTAAACGATTTCAGGCGATGAATAAGGGTCTTATCAAATGAAACGATCGCTCATTAAAAAAAATAACAAAGTTTAAGTTTTATAAGCTTAAATGGTCTTGCTCTGCTCTGTGACGTTCGTGACTCTCCTGTTCAAACTCGTTTATAAAATTGAACAAATATTTTTTCGTGTCATTTGGTTCAACGAAATGAACAAGTTGACTCGGGAAAATATTCGTTCATTTTGATGAACGAGTTCGAATAGGAGCCACGAAAGCGCATCACAGAACAGAGCAAGGAGACCATTTGAGCTTATAAAACTTAAACTTTGTTATTTGTTTTTTTAAATGAGCGATTGTTTCACTTGATAAGACCCTTATTCATCGCCTGAAATCATTTAAAGCCCTTTGAACAGTTTGTACTGAAACTCTCTTTTGGACCTTGAACCGTTTGGTTCCCATTGAAGTCCATTATATGGAGAAAAATCCTGGAATGTTTTCATCAAAAACTTTAATTTCTTTTTGACTGGAGAAAGAAAGACATGGACATCTTGTATGACATGGGGGTGAGGAAATTATCAGCAAAAGTTTTTTTTTAAAAGTGAACTACTCCTTCTTTAACTGAAGACCAACAAAGTATCCGTCAAGTGAATATATCACAAAAAATACAAGCTATAACATTTTGATTAAAGACTATGAAGGCAACATTTTTATATATATATATATATATATATATATATATAAACTGCATGGAAGAATTGTTCACAACAAGACCAGTAAAATGCATTAAGAGAAATTAATCTGAAGATTTTATAAAAATGTATAAAAGTGTAAATTTCCCAAATTTTAAAAGTTAAAAAGCTCAGGCAAATTCATAATTTCAAAAACCTTAAAATCTAGGAAAAGGTCATTAAAGAAATATGGTCTACATTTTTTTTTCTTTGATCGCTCACTTTAATATTGTGTCAGAAAGATCATTTTAAAGGGGTAAGTATGATATTCAACACCCTTAATTTCAATAAAAGCCTAATTCAGGTATGATTTGATTTTTATCCTCTATATAACCCATTGAAATTTAATGGTGATATTTGGAACAAAAATTCATAGATAAAACTTTTCAGCCAACATAAAAAAAACTGAAGCCAACTCACAGATTAAATGCTAATCTTCTAGATATTTTATAATAATAATAACGTGATAAGTCGGCATGAAATGAAAATTCACACTATTTTCTAAACGCATGCATCCTAAAAATTACAAATTACAAGTGATGCTTTGGGCCTTTGGCTATACTTTCTTCTGAAATTCGATCCTGTCTGTCTGTCTCTGCAGGTTTTGTGCTGGTGATCGGCCTCGTGACATTCTACAGGATTGGCCCCTACACTCACCTGTCCTACTCTTGCTACGTAAACATCGCTGCATGCTTGTTTGCCACGCTAGCAGCTGCCATGCTAATCTGGAATATTCTGCATCGCCGTGACGACTGTCTGTCACCCTCTGTCATTGTCATCAGTCGATCTTTGACCACACCCTTCAGGCCACGCCTGGACAATGACTACGTAGAGTCACCGTGCTGACACACAAAGACACATCTCACCTGAGACAAAGGGGATGATGGATATTTAGATGGGATGGACACAAAAGCCCATGGAGAGGATTTCAATCATTGTATGTGAAATTGATCTTCTGCTTAAAGGGACAGCTTACGCAAAAATGAAAATGTGCTGTTAATGAACTCGCCCTCAGGCCATCTTGTCTTTTTTTCTTCAGTCAAGAGGATTTTTAGCTGAAACCGAAGTCCTTGGTGATTCCTCTAATGCAAGTCAATGAGTAAAAAAAAACACATACAGGCAAAACAAAATTAATACCAGTGGCTCCTGATGATACACTGATGATACAAGCGAAACGATCGTTTGTTGACTCTCAAAGTGACTTGCCTTATATTAATCACCAAGGACTTCGGTTTCAGTTGCTGAATGCTGAAAAAAAAGACGCCAACATCTTGGATGGCCTGAGGGCGAGCGAATTACCAGAAACTTTTTCATTTTTGGGTGAACTGTCCCTTTAAGGACAAGGGTTTTGATCAAGTGACCTTGCTTCAGACTGAATGAAAGACTTTGGACATTCCTTTAAACACAGAAGCAGGACTGTGGATTGTAAAGAATATAACTGACAGATGAAGATCAAGCTGGATCTTGACACGTTTATGTTCATAAAGTGCACTTATGAGAAAGTAAAAGCACATGTATCTTTTATAGTTCTAAGAAACATGCAGATTTCAAAAGAAGTCTAGGCATTGAATATTGCTCCCAGGTCATTTGGATAGAGTCATTTACAGACCGGCATGGAGTCTGCACTTTTATACACAGTTTCAGTGCTAATTTAAGAATGCATTTATATTGGTGAATTTCACACATCACAGATCACATTTTTGCTCCAAAATATTATATAAGTCTATTTTAGGACTATTTAAATTCAATTCAAACTTTTCAGGTAGATATTTTGCTTACATTTGATTAATTGCTTCATTTTGTTTAAACAAAATATCATCTTTTCTTTACTGTGAGGCGTTATGACACCCAAATATAGTAAAATGTGTTAAACAGAGTTGATAGTATTGTCAAATTATTCAAAATATTCAATCTAATATGTGAGGAGATGAGATGGAAATCTGGTGGAGCAGATTCGGTGCAGGTCTGGGCATTTGGTACCAAAAATATTTTAGTGACTTCTGCCTGTTCATTTATCTCCATGCATCTCCATGTGACGATATGATATAATCTACAAGACATCAATGAGGAAACTCTGCATAGTAACCATTAAGAAGGAGATGATCTGAAACTGGTCATTATTGTATGATAAACTGGAACCATACCAGTTCAGTATACAGTAGACACAATACTTGTTAACCTGTGCCTGTGGTACCCATATATGTGTATAATAAAGAGGTATATTAAGTATTTTATTAAAATTTCACATTTCACCCTGAGCGGGACTGATATAATGTTATTAAAGTAATAAACAAAGCCATTCAACACACAAAAGGGTTGTTCTGGGATTGACTGTATGTGTGAGATCGGTGAGCACAGAGTCAAGGGCAGTCTGAATGAGAGGAAATGAATGGAGACACACACACACACACGACCCCCTGATTCCTTGGATGACGGTAACATGAGCATTATTAATGTTACTACATGCATAGAAACTATTAGCATTATTAAGGGATAGTTCACTTGAAAATAAAAATCTGTATACAAAAAAAGTCTGTATATAAATAACATTTTAGATTTTTAGGTGAACTAGCCCTGAAGTATTTTGACAAAATGTTTCACGTTTTCCACAAAAATAGTAAGCAGCACAACTTTTTTTCAACATAATAATAATAGTAGTAATGTTAAAAAAAATACTAATAATAATAATAATAAGAAGAAGAAATGTTTCTTGAGCAGAAAAACATCATATTAGAATGATTTCTGAAGGTTAATGTGACACTGAAGACTGGACTTTAATCACAGGAATAAATTATATTTTAAAATATTTTACAATAGATAACACTTATTTTTAAAGTGTAATAATATGTACAAAATATTATATTTTTACTGTATTTTTGATAAGAGACTTCTTTTAAATAACATAAAAACTTTTAAATGGAGCTATATACAGACACATATATGCACAAATAATTAATGCATGTAGAACTTACATTACATGAATGTATGAGGTGAGCTGATATTCCTGCTTTTTATTCATAGTTATTTTATTAATAATGGTCAATTGGTCAATTATTTTGTATTTTATTGTATTCACACTTGCTCTTTCCCATTCAGTGAAAGCATGAAGTCACCAGGGGTTGTCTTGTCAATCTTCAAATAAGACAAAAAGCACCAAAACGTATAATAAAAGTGGTGCATATGACACGTGCACTATATTCCAAGTCTTATGAAGTCATACGATAGATCTGTGTGAGAAACAGACCGAACGTAAAAATGTATTTTCTGTTGTAATTCTGAAACCTTGCTTCCTCATTCATACATGGGGTGGCGAAATGGCTAGCAAATATGATGTATCTTGATATGCCATATTGAATATATTTGTGTATTACTTTAGGAATATAGCACACAAGTCACAAAGAAAATACTTTTATGATGTCTTTTAATTATTATTTGGAGCTTTACAGCCTCTGATCCCTTGGTTTTATTGTTTCAAGAAAGTCAAAAGGTGAAACGTTATAGGCCATTAAAACAAATCTGACAGTATGTGTTACGTGCTACAGGGATCCGTCACAGTTTTTGAGAATTTGATTGTTAAAGATAGGAATCAATAGATTACTCAGCTCAAGCTCTTTTCCTCTCCTCTGCATTTCATCTGTTGCTAAAATGAACTAAAACAATACAGCTGGAATGTACAGTACACACACCCCATACAGTCATGGAAATCTGTGTCTCTTACACTAGTGCTCTCATTCACACAAGGCGTCTTTTGGGAAGCCGCCGCACACACCTACATATAAACACCAGTAACCTTACAAGCACGCAAAGCACAATTACAATACCCATTATAAACATGAAACACACAAAGCAGTGTGTGTGCGTGTCTGTTTAGATCACCATATCCTCTCTGGAAAAACGACTGAAACTGCACTTAGTATTGTCTGAAACCAATGACAACACACACACAATCTAAATGTCTGGCTCACCGTTACCTCATTTATCTTTAGTAAATCATTTTTATGATAAAGATTATTTTACATAACATCTCCCTTTTCACTGGTAAGCATGCCATCTGGCACGTCCTCCTCCTCATATACCCAGAATGCAGGCAGGCAGAACGCAGAGGATGTTTCACTCACTCACAGTGACTTGTGTTTGTGTGTCAAAACCTAGTAAGCTGCCTACCTAGACAGCATTTTTAGCTGTGATGAGCCAATATATTGACCAGGACATTAATTGGCAAATATTTACATTTTTGAGATTATCATCTTCAGCCAATTACTTTTCATCTGCTGACATTTTTGAATATTTTAAGAGTTCTGAGCACTGTAACTTTACTATTGTTTATATAATACTGTGTTAATATGTAGTATTTTAAATTGCTTATATATATATATATATATATATAGGTTCTGTTGTTTCGGAGTGACCTGAAGTTGTATCTTGATCAAGGTCACAAGTTCACAGATCAGCTCTTGTGAGGTTTAAACATACTCTGATTAACTCAAAAGCTCAAACACTGATAAACCTCATTGCTCTGGTTGGTAAGATGCGAGTGTACGAGTACACGTACCTCTTGATGAGTTTGATGGCTTTAAACGCTTCGTCCATGTCCCCTATGGTGAGGTAGAAGCTGAAGTTCAGCATGGCGTCTCGGGTCTGCTTCTCGCAGCTCTCCAACCCAACAAAGTCTCGTAGGGCTCGTCGTACCACCATCTGAGGGGCTGACGGCACCAGGGGCGCTTCGGCGGGAGACGAGACCGCCTGGCCCTGATCTCCAACCTCACCCAGCTGAGAGGACAGAGAGAAATATTCATTAACGATAAACCTTTAGCAAAACGCAAACACTCCTTTTGAACTAAATTCAGAAAGATGAATAAAGAGAGAAAGAGTGACGTGTATCAAACGGATGATTCTTTTGCCAAATGGTTGATTGGCATTGTGATTGTGATAATGATGGAACTCACGTCAGGGAGAACAAGTCCTCCCCTCCGAAATAAGAGCTTAAGAGCAGCAGGATAGTCAAAAGGAAAATAAGAATAAGAAAAATAAAAGAATGCATGCAAGAAATACAGAAACACTTATTTAAAGGAGTGAGAAATAGAGATGCATACAGATTCACAGAGAGTTAGGAGGGGAATGAAGGGCTCCTATGTGTTCATACCTTACAAATGTAATAGTAATATGGTGTATCTAGAGCCAGCAGAGAGAGAAGCGTAGCTGGTTTAGGCTGCGAGTCCTGCAGGAGGAGACCATGTTCCTGTGTCACAAAGAACGTCACCACCATCACGTCCTCCTGTCAGGGAAAACAAAAAACCTTTTGAATATATTTTAACTCATTTATTTAGCCATCATAATGCATTCAGGTTTCAATTGTCAAATTTCAAGAAATAAATTAAAATGTCTAAAAATGCAAAGTTTGCAAAAGAAACTTTGAAAAACTTTGAAAAAAAAAAATAGTTTGCAAATGAGCCAGGACTATGAAAATACACTTTTTTAAAGGAGTCGTTTAAAGACATTATGAATGTTATGGGTTGAATCTACAAATATATATCAAATTTCAAGAAATAAATTAAAATGTCTAAAAAGAAAAGAAAGAAAAAAAATGCAAATGAGCCAAAACTATGAAAACACACTTTTTAAAAGGAGTCTTTTAAAGATTTTTTTTAAACTGAGATTTGAGAACATGGGGGATGGATTATGGGGGGGGATCTACAAAATATATATTTTTTTTTTAATTTATAAAAATTAAAAATGTACGTATATATATATATATATATATACACTGTTTATATATATATATATATATATATTAAAAAAGCCCAGTTAACGGGTTAAACAAATTAATTTCATTTTCATTATCATGTTGTGTTTTTGTGTTTTACCTTCTCTGTTTGTGATTGGCTACTTCTGAGGAGGTCAGAGTTCACAGGAACTGTTTCACACACAAACAGACGTGGCTCATTCTCGTCCCAGAACTGAGAAACAGGGCAGCGGGCGGCTAACTCCCCCTCACATCGAGTTCTTAAATTTAAAAACATTTTTTCACAATGAAAGTTGGCTTATTTTTATGCACTTGCATCATCTCTGTCCACAATATGTCATCTCATGGTACCTTTGACTGTCGTCGGACAGTGCAAGACTGCTCTCTGGCCTCCCCGTGAAAAAGTCAAAGTAAGACAGCGTGTCCAGCTCGATGTCATAGAAATACACTTTGTTATCTGGCCGCCCGTTCACCTACGATGCACAAAACACAACAGAGACATTGGGAAAACCTGCACATAAAAATAAAAAGATCTATCTATCTATCCATCCATCCATCTATCTATAGCGTGTTTCAAGCTCTGATTGGCTGCCGGTTGATTAAGACATGCAGGTGTAATTGTAAAAATAATTGTAAAAATAAACAATACTTGCAATACTGACATTGTATCAAGAGGATTGACTCTCGCATAATAAAGTGATACCCCTTAATATTCTTACCAAGACAGCATTCAAAATGAATGCGCTAAATAAACTTAGTGGGGGTAAAATGAACAGACAGTTTTCTTTCAAACGGAGAGAGTGAAAAATCACTATTTTACAATGTGCAACACACTATTTTAAAGGCACAACTAAATGTGACATTTATCATAGTGGGGTCATGTGAAGATTGTTTTAAGTTCACTTAAATTAAAAGTTGTTACAATATTTTTAAGCCTATTAAAAAAGCCTGAAAATGACGGATTTCAATTATACTGTAATGTTGAATGGCTATAATTACTCATTTCATCCCTAGAAACTGAGAAAAAAAATCTATTTAATAGAGACATCAGTAGCAGTATTAGTTTTCTATACGTCACTATACTTCTTAAAAAGATGCCATTAAACAAATATTCAAAACATACCATCTTCATGTTGCTTCTACATTAATTTGGATAATCAATGATATTAATGTTTTTCATGACCATTTTCAACTTTCTGCATTTCTGCAGTTTAGTTTCAAAAAATGATCTTGGTCGACATTCATTGTGAGCATGAAACCTGTTTTCCATTATATGGTCCCTTTAAGAATGGTCTTTTTTTGTACCTGTGTAACGAGGACGCTCAGCTGACTGCCGCTGGCGTTGCATTTGACTGATCTCAGAGCGCCCAGGTCAGGAATGAGCTCACAGAGGTTCTTTGTGACGCCTAAGGGTTTGGCCTCCCTGTGCACACAAACACACACATTAAACACTCATATACATTTACACATGTTTGTGTAGAACTGAGTGTGTGTGTTTACCTGCGTGTGAGGTTA